ACTTATACTTATGCTACCTTCTTACTGTACTTATACTTATGCTACCCTCTTACTGCACTTATACTTATGCTACCATCTTACTGCACTTAGACTTATGCTACCTTCTTACTGCACTTATACTTATGCTACCATCTTACTGCACTTAGACTTATGCTACCTTCTTACTGTACTTATACTTATGCTACCCTCTTACTGCACTTAGACTTATGCTACCTTCTTACTGTACTTATACTTATGCTACCATCTTACTGCACTAAGACTTATGCTACCCTCTTACTGCACTTAGAGTTATGCTACCTTCTTACTGCATTTATACTTATGCTACCCTCTTACTGCACTTAGACTTATGCTACCTTCTTACTGCACTTGGACTTATGCTACCATCTTACTGCACTTACTTACTGCCTCTTACTGCACTTAGACTTGTGATACTTTCTTACTGCACTTGGACTTATGCTACCATCTTACTGCACTTAGACTTATGCTACCTTCTTACTGCATTTATACTTATGCTACCCTCTTACTGCACTTAGACTTGTGATACTTTCTTACTGCACTTGGACTTATGCTACCATCTTACTGTACTTATACTTATGCTACCATCTTACTGCACTTAGACTTATGCTACCCTCTTACTGCACTTAGAGTTATGCTACCTTCTTACTGCATTTATACTTATGCTACCCTCTTACTGCACTTAGACTTGTGATACTTTCTTACTGCACTTGGACTTATGCTACCATCTTACTGCACTTAGACTTATGCTACCTTCTTACTGCACTTAGACTTCTTCAGTATAAAAAGCCTCATATTTCTTCAATTTTTGTCACAGCAAGTCGACGCATATTCATCTCCTGACTGATTGCCCTATTTCATGCAATTTTATGTGCACGCTCTTCCCCCTTTGTTGAAAACGATTGTCCTTTCAGGGTTTGGACTTTCTTTCATCTCCAAGTGCCGTTCAAACAACCCCAACACCGTCCTCGTTTCAAGCCGGCCTCGCTCCTACTGGATTTTCGCAAACAATTAGTCCACCTTTAGCAAATCAAAATACTTTAGCTGCAAATCCAGTCAGATCATCGGTAAGTCTTTTTAGAAAATTCTTTCAAAAGAAGCTTCAGTAAGTAATTATATTGTTTACATTTACCTTCTATATGTATCTTGTTCTAATGACTAATGAAAATTTCAGTTTACCGGTCTCTCAAAGTGATCGATGCCGTTTAGGCAGACCTGTACACACTTTTGGTGTATAAAACAGGACTGTTCTACGTGTTGAGCTCCGGTCCTAATCAGCAGTTGTCTGATAATCGCATTTAGCCTGAACCTCGGAATAGAGACTTAGAACTGTCCTGTTCTATACACCGTTGTTCTAATGAGAAGGAAACAAGCGAGTATATTTCAGTTATTATATGACAAAATTCATCATAATCCCAAGCTTATTACAAAACAAAGTATCAATGGTCCAACTTCTAGGCCAATGATTGTTCTTTTGAAAAATTCACTAAAGGTGGAAGGGACCTAACATTTGCCGGACAGTGTATATGGTTTAGTGACATCGTAAAGTCTCAAAAGCTAAGGTGTCTAACTATGTAGGGTAAACGTTGAAGTTACTGGTTAGGTATCCATCCTGCGTCTCTCTTACAATGTTTGCCATAGAAATGAGAAACCTAATTCTTTTCAGTTTTAGATTAAAATGTATTTATGTTATGAAAATATTTCATAACTTGGTCACGTGATTGACGAAGCCCTCTTCTTTACTTAGACATCTTATGTTTCCACTGGTTGCGACAAGCCCCAGGGGATTGTACTCATAACTGTATTCACAATTACTTTCTTGTATATCAAGGAGCGAAAGATATTGACTACCCCATGGCCAATTAGGCAACTAAAGCCTGAGCACCCCTATTCTAAAAATATTTGAGTACCCCCCTGGCGACAAGCTTAATAAAAGTCTGCATTCAAGCTAATATTGTTTTGCGTGGGTTTAGTGCTCTTCTTGCTTATGGATGTCGGCCTCACTGTTAGTACAGGTTGCCTTTAATCATCAAATGCACTTCACTTTTTCATTGCCTTTCAAGAGTGCTCTTTATTTTACATTTGCATTGATCTCAACGCCATATCAGCAATCAAACTTTAATGGAATCACATAACTGTACAATCTAAGTGCAAATTGGAATTTGCTTTATGCCTTGTTTTATAAACTTTCGCGATGATCAAGATTAGTTTTAAACAGTGTGTTGTTTCAACAAAGTTGTCGTCGCAGTCTGTTATGAGAACCAGAAATTTTGTTTTCAAACATAATACCGTATTTCCTCCAACAAGCACCTATCCTCGAAAAGCGCTGCCCGCGAAAAGGCGCCAACCCATTTAACTTAGAGCCTCATTTTGAAAAAAATTTCAAGTTTTAAATAAAAATTTAATTAGCTGTCTGTTATATTTACTTTTTGCCTTGAATAATTGAATTAGCACTTTGATAAATTCACTTATATTGTCAATCTAATGTAAGCTAGGCCATATACCCAGTTAACACCATAAGTTTCTTCTAAAGGGAGTATCACCCAAGGAGAAGACCTCAATGTGGAGCAATACTGGCTTGGATATCAGTCTTGACACACTTAGTCCTATTTCTGCGAAGGACAAGCCTATACAGCCAAGCATGAATCAAATGACCAATCAACAGGCCGCAGTTGGTCACATGACAATGAACGCACCAATAGGAATGCAGCCTTCAAGCATGGGTTCTTTGAATGCCGGTATATCAAACATGGTAATTGGCTCCGGAATGACGCGACCCGGACAAACAGGACAGATGCAGCAACCCATGAGCTATCCCCAAATGGGTGGCCAGATGATTGGTTCACAGATAGGGGGGATGATGGGTAGCCAGCCGATGGTCAGCCAGCCGATGGTCAGCCAGCCGATGGTCAGCCAGCCGATGGGCAGTCAGCCGATGGGCGGTCAGTCGATGGGCCAAATGAGGTCGCAACAAATGACTTTTGGAATGCAAGGCTCGAACATGGCAGGTATGGCCAACCAAGGTATGTTAGGCAATCAAAATATGGGAATGCAGTTCGGCTACCAACAAATGGGCATGGGCATGCAAATGCCAGCGCAATATCAAACTCCGATGCAAGGGACAATGGGACAATTCAGATCTTAATTTAATTCTCTGCTGCTACAGCTCCTTTCGGCCAAAATTTCTCCATGGGACAAGTGCTGCAGCCCCGCAACATTCGTCAAGCGAGAAATTATGCTTTTTAGTCTTCTTCGTTACTTATTTGGTTTATTTGATGATATCAAATGCCTTAGTCACGATAGAATATTCAGTGCATCCCATTTTCAGTGGGGTCTCTGTTGCGAGACCTCTTCGTCCTTTATATGATTTGCCTTTTGCTCCAATGTAGTATCTAAAGCAGCCAACCCTGTTATTTTGTACATGATTCTTCTCATTGTAAATTGATATTTTCTAAAATTGATGTTCTTGGTTAATATAAGATATCAAGGATCCAGACTTTGTGTTTCTCTAAGCTGTGTCGCCTCCCTGTGTCGCCTCCCTGTGTCGCCTCCCTGTGTCGCCTCCCTGTGTCGCCTCCCTGTGTCGCCTCCCTGTGTCAAGGGTACTAATATTACGGGTATATTGTTCCTAGATTTTGTATTAAAAGCGTAGTCACCTAGGCGGAAAGTTTATTTTTAAGTAGTATATGTATTTTCAAATCTTCGGTTGTACGAAATTAATGTCGGTATTATTGGGTGATTGTTCATCCGGACACGGACTTAAATCCGGATCATCGCTTATTAATGCCGCAAAAATTTCTGCCATGCATTAAGTAGCAAACTTTTAGACAAAAATGTATCAAACTTTTAGACATCTGGACATTCAAGAAATTGTCAAACACGACATTTTAAAGTCAGAGCTCTCATTCGGGATAGATTGACTTTTCTGTAGACTGATTTTAGACTTTTGCAAATCAGGGGAATGTTATTTTTGAGTTTGTGGTGTTATTTTGATATGATATCGCACAATACCTTCAAAACATCGCACAAATCATTACAAAAATAAATGAAGAAATTATTGCAAAAGGTTCTGCAAAAATCATTGCAAAAACCCGTGCAAAATCAAGGGAAAGTCTCTATTAGCAATATCATCAAGAACCGCCCACAAAGCAGTGCTGAGGCTTTGGCCGACTGTAAGCCACCCTACAGAGTTGCAGTTAAAATGTAGTAAAATTGTCTTTAATAACTTGTTGAGTATATTTGTGCATTGCTTATCCTGTACAACCACCATTATTATTTTTTGTTATTTTTTGTTTTTGTTAAGAGTTTGGAAACTAAGATGGTAGAAATGAGAAAATTAATTTTTAAACTACATTATTCTTTTTAACGGTGTCGCGTTACCATGCTAGGTGAAATATTCTTGTTTTGAATACTTGGTTTTCAGTAGGGGTGGAAAAGGCAACAGAGGCCAAGTGTCGAAATGACATCTAAAGTGGCCTAGCGCCTTCTAGAAAACGCTGGCACTGGAGGGCCAAGTTTCATCTGCAGTCGTTGTGGTTTGCTTGAAAAATTTGCTGTTATGTGCAAGTTTTTGTGTATAAGAAGTCTGGTCAAACGTGAAAATGTCAATTTTTGAAGTAACAAAGCCTTGAAAAACTTAAAACACATTAAGGTGCAATGTAACCAATTTTACACGTTATTTTCAATTTCCACGTAAAGCATCGAACTAAACTCGTGCCTGCATTACCCAAGTCCTACATAAAACGTTTCAACGGAGGTTTGGGGATTCTAATCGATGGAATACAAAACGGCTGTTTTAGGCATTCGCCACCTGGAAGCCTTTTTCCAGTCAGTGGGGATGGGCTTGAACACTCCTTAAAATGTAATTGTCTATGATTCCTGTTTGTATACACCTTACTGGACAACTATTTCTATTACTTTTGTAGTTATTTGTATGCATAAAATGTATGTATGAAATATTAAGATAAACAAACTGAGCGTAAAACTGACATCAACAGCAATTTGTCCCAGGGCCACAGGTGCCAGGGCCCCAGCGGAGGCGAAATACCGGAAGCGTTCGTCACCAATATTCATTGCGAGTGGTGGGAAGGTTACTCTCTGGTTTCCAGTGGTGAAAAACAGATTTCTATATTCTACAAGGCAGGTGGCAGTTTGTAAGTATACCCGTTCTATTAATTTTTTTCTTGCCGATTAGCTGCCGTTTTTTTTCCAGCTTCATTAAATATTTATAGGTTTTTTAATTGCTAATTCCCTTGCATAGGAAGCCTTGCAAAGGAGGCACAAAACGGCAGAGAAATGGGTTGGCCTCGTAAGACTTTTTGGCCTGAGTGATTTTTGGGGCTGGTTATCTTTGTTTTGAACTTGCGGAAGAGTGCAAAATGTAGAGCTTTCGTGTTCTTTATTTTTCACACTGTATCTCTTCTTGGTTAAGAAATATTTACATTTCTGGTGAATTTTCTTCATGCTGGACTGCCCTTAACGAACAGTCTCCGTCTGCCATCCCCTGGACGGGCAAAGAAGAAACCAAATTGAATTTCGAACATTCAAACTCGTACAACTTTTCAAGGCACTAATTTTTCTTGCATTTAATCCAAACGAATTTTCAGTTCTTCGTGAAACCTGTTCACGAGCCCCTCCCATAAAGACGTCAAATATCTCGTTTGTGTTGTATTACATTTTACAGCTCACAATAAGTTTTGTCTTCGAGGCTAAGCGTATCAAAAACTTTTGTTCTGTCCGGATGCGAACAGTAATAGAATGCCACAGAAATTTTGAAGCCTTGCATGGTATTTGCTTCGGTTTGTGCCTGCTCCTATAGAGGGTTAAATGATTGAAAGACCTTGATAAATTAGACAAAAGTTCAATTAGGTACTTATGAACCCAGTTATGCATTTGATATTTTCTGCTGAATTAGTTTCATTGTGCCAAGTTGTTTGTTTCTGTAATGTGACAATCAATGGAATCTGTGTTCATCTGGCAACCAAAGGCTGATATCATGCATGAAATTGCTTAGCCTTTCAGCGGGACTTCAGCAGGCAGGTCATGATATCAGTTGATGGTCTTAAACACTGGAAGGTAATCTAGCAAGTCCCCACCCAGTGTTGCTGCCCCCTGGCCCTTGCAAACTTGTGCCCTTTTTCTTGGCTCTTTGCCCTAATGATCCTGCTAAAAACTGGGGAATGCACCCCCCCCCCTCCATGGTGCCACCATTTGTTAAGCTGCCCTCCAACCACCTGTTTCAATGAGTGGTTTCCTATCAAGTTATCATGTGATTTCTCTAGTAGCTGGCCAATTATAGTCAATGGAATTTAATAAGTATTAATTTTTAGGTCCAAACTTGATTTGGTTGATTTGATTTACCTCACTCATTTGGTTGCTTGGAAAGCTTTTTTAATTAGATATCTTAGCAGCATATCCAATTAACTTTTATCTAGTATTTATTCTGATCCTTGTTATTTAGACTTTAAACTGTTTAGCTCTAGCCTGACTGGTTTAGTCTAAGGGAAGCCATCTTTAATTGCTCAGAATGTTTAGGAGGGCAGGGTTTTTATGTGTAACCATTGAAAAGTAACCATATTGAGTTTTTTGGCACTATTTCCTATTTAGATCTTCTAAGTAGACATTCTTTGCGTTAAAGGCTTATGGATTATGTAAAACGTGATACCAACTAAGAGGCAATAGCCCTACAGAAAGCTGCATTTGGTTTCTGTAAACCAGTCTTTCAGTCAATCTATCTTTGATTTGGGGTATTTTAATGCCAATATGGGGTAGTGGTAAAACCAGTGGCGAAGCCGGAGGGCAGGCTTGTCAGGCTCAGCCTGACCAATAATTTTCAGCAATATGTTTTTTCCATATTAGAAAAAATATCTCAAAGAACGAAAAATATTCATTCTTTGCATGCCTCTCTATGATCTTCAGATGTTCACTATTCTCTTGTGGAGCCCATCATGGAGCCTTTCATTTACTGAGCAGTGGTTCACTTCTGATTATGATTATGGCCAAGGTCAGGCTCTCAGAAATTTGCTTGACCAACGTCATCATTTTCACTAAATGGAGCTAGGTGATTGACCAGAAGTTTCATGTGGACTTATTGTTTGTGACATTTTGGTCAGGCTATTTCGGAATGTTTTGCAATTCACTTCAATGCACATTTAGTCAAAAAGTTGTTATGGCTTGTAAACCTGAAGCGAAGCGTGAGTTAACCGTGGTTCAAATTTGTGATACTTTTACTGTAATTCTCAAAGAGGGAAGTCAATGTATAGGCATGGAAGCATTTCCAGTGCAAGTTCGTTTCTCTCATTTGTCTGTGAAACTTTCTGGTGTTAGGCTATCAATCAATCAGAATGGGAAGATAGGCCCTAGTCTAGTCTAGAAAATGCACTCAGATGACACAGAGGGAAGTATTGTAAGAAGAATGCCAGGAACGACTATATTGTACAGGCCCTCAGAGAACATCATTTATGTGAAAAGGAACTTTGTTGATATATTTGCTACCTGTCAAATTTATCATGGTAAAATATGCTGCTCATTCAAAGTGAATTTTATCAATATTCTTACGTTTTTTGGACCTTCTTTGTGTGCTGATCATGTTTGACACGTAGCTATGATGTGTTACTACACTGCAGTGTACTGATTTTGAACATTTCACAATAACATTTATTTTGTTAATTTAAGTTAATGTGTGGAAGTATCAACTTAAACAGTGTGAATAGTATGTTGTTGACTAATGAATCATCACAAATAGAAGGCATCTTTTTTGTACTGTACTTGTTAAAAACCAGGGGGAAGAATCATGAAAATAAAAAAAATATTTCTGTGTGATTTTCTGGGTTTTATTTCTTGCTTGCTTGCAAATGATGAAATTGGTGTACTGGCTGATAATCAGAAGTCGATCATTCTGCAAATTTTACTTGCTTTTGGTTGCCTTTTGATGTTACTATATGAACTTTTACATGGAGTTTTTTGACCATCACAAAAAGAACTAGATTTGTTGGAAAATTGTTCAGATTCCCTATGGTTGATTCACCATGAATAAGATTTCACAAATTAGAAGTGGAGGTTTTATTTTTGGGCGTGGTAAAAAAGGGTGTGACATATCCGTATCTGAGCCTGACCATCCCACCAAACCTGGCTTCGCCACTGGGTAAAACTATTTTCATTACAGGCAGAAATTGAGCATTTTTGGTTGTGGGGCAAGCACAGTGAATTTTCCAAAATTATTAGCAGCCTTTTCTATTTTCTTTACAAAATATGAGCATAGGGGGGTTAGCTGCTCCATCCCTTTAGTTTCCGGTACTGATTAACAACAAAATTGAAGATGTCTTATATTCCATGGGGGCAAATGGCAGTTGTCCAGATAATACTGGGATGCCTGTGAAATAAAAGATTAAAAACTGAATAATGTTTTAAACAAAGCTTGGCCACAAAGCTGCTTAATGTCCAACAGGTATGCACCTTCACTTTGTAAAATCAAATCACCCTATTTGATAATTGCTAGGAGCAAGCAAGTTTAGCTGAACATTACAGCTTCCCATTTACAAGATGTTTATTAAAGAAACATTGACCAAAATTTATTTTGTAATTTATTGGTTTTTACTTGTAAGCACACTAACTGGAAACATTCAGTTGTATAAATCTTCTGTGGATAAACTTCTTCAAAAAAAATTTCAATATTCTATGAGGCAGATCTATAGAGTTTTCTAAATATTTCGTTCAGTAGGTGTTGACTCATTGGGTCGGGAGATTTGAACCCCTCTGTGGAGCTTTTTCGGGACATCAGTCCCAACCCCCCAGGCAGCTTTTTAATGTAAAGCATTTCAGGAAAACTAAAACGAAGGGCAGTATCTCTTATCAGTTTATGTGATGGAAGGCAAATCAAAAGAGATACTTCTTGCATTGAGGGCTTGATGATTGGTGATTCAAATCAAAAGAGATTGATGATTGGTAAGACAATAAAACAATCTCCTGTTTTCTTTTCTTTAAATTTGTATGGAAAGACAATGAGGTCTAGAAATTTTATCGTTTTCCCTGTTTTGAATTTGTTGTGAAAGTGCAAATACCAGAAGCAATTTTAGTTTAATTTTAAAAAAGCAATAGTGGAAACTTTTGAGATCGGAAACAAAGGGCAATTAGAGATATGATGAAGATATATTCAAAAACTGACAATGATGATGATAATGATGATAAAATGAATACAAGATTTTAATTTGCAATCACATAATATAAAGGTTACGCTATGCAAATTCTCAAACCTTTTAATTCTCAAACGCAAATCCAAAAAATTTCGTCTTGTTTAAAATTTAGTCGAAGAAAAATTCGTCAACAAAACGTTTGTCCAAAATTTGGTCAAGGCGAAATTTCTCTAGGTTAATGTAATTGATTCTGCTACAACCACAGACACCTAGCGCTGAGTTGTTTGGATAAAGGTTTTTGAATGAGCAAAATTGGGTGTTGGCGAAGTCTAATTAAATCTGGAGGAGTTTATTTGGTTAACTTGCATTTATGAACATCTTTCTTGGTGAAAACAAGCCAAAATAACGATAATGAACCTTGCTGTTTGAGACCATATGTTGTTCGTTAATCCTAGTTAAAATATTTGAGAATGTCATGTTTCCTTTATAGACTGTTATGGTAATCTGACTGTTATTTTAAGCAATATTTTTCCTGGATTTTCGCAAATGTAATTTTTCGGCAAAGTAAGCGTTGAGCTTGTTTCAGAGATTTTGGTTTCCACGTTACAAACCAGGTAAATAAAGATTTAGTAATTTGCTAAAGCTCGGTGTAGGGATCGATTGTATTACCGTTTTTAATTTAAAAAAGCGAATGTAAACAAACACACAAAAATTACAGACATTCTCAGTAATTGCACCCGAAATGATATAAGATTTTAAGAAAAGTGAAAAATGAATACAGCTTTTGAAATTTTAATTTTTCTTGGATTCATTTTAGCAGTGTTTTTAGGCAAACTTTATAAGTTTCCCATTTGAAGAATCTGAGTGTATATTGGGAAATTTGATCTTCAATTCATAGATGGTTCTCCGTCCAAACGACTAATTTTACGACAGGACTAAGCACAACCAACAACTCTTTTTTATCTGATTATCTCTTTATCAATTTATTTATGTTTCGGGGGACTATACTTTTTGTATGTATCCGTACCATTCTCTTCCTTTTGAAATGAACCACGTTTGTTAGAATAAACTTGTGAATGGGTTATCATTGGGAAATCTTTAATTTCGACTTTGCTAGAGTCAACGATAAGATTTCAGGTACCCTTTATTTCGAAGAAGATTATATTTCACATTATCGCTTTAGAGACTTCTACCTTTAACCCTATAACGAAAGCTTTGTAATCGCTAGCAGATCGTATAAAAGGGGTGTGTCTTCAAAACAAATGCTTTTATTCTCTGTTCTTGGCCAAGGTTGCTCTGTTTGTATTTTGTGTTGTTCTGTTGATAAGAAGAGCCCTAAAATCAAATATTGCCTAGGCCTGCCTCGCTTCCACTCAAGCACTTTTTGATCACGCAGAGGTACCCATCTCCGATTTCGCCAGAGGCAACCAAGTCACACTGTCACAACTGGTGTTTTTCTTTTGCTGCATTTCGCTATATTGCAAGTCTTTTATATATAGTTCAGAGTAATTGTTGATTGTTCTTTCAATCCACCAACGATCTGAGCATGCAGACCGTTGGAGATAAGGGGGTTGTGATGAGTGATAGGGGAGTTCTGAAAAACTGGTATATGATGGCCAAAAATTCCTTTATTTGTTTAAACCATTTGTTTTCGGCAACATGTCTGTATTGACTCGCAACATCGCAATTTCGATGGAATAATCTAACTAAGAAATAAACTTTCGCAGGTGTCTCTTCGATCACAGCAAAGATGGTTGCCGGAAAACTTCGAGTCCGTGTTGTTAATGCAGCTAAATTGAAAAACATGGAACGCTTTCAAAAGAGCGATCCATACTGCTTGGTAGAGTGTGGAAAAGAATCAAGGAAAACGAAAGCTATTGATAACAACTTGAATCCAACATGGAATGAAGACTTTGTGGTGGATGTTGCCGATGGGGTGGAGACACTGGCACTTTCAATATGGGACAAAAACACACTTACAAAGGACAATTTTATGGGATTCACATACGCATCATTTGTTGATTGCCCAAAAGATAAAGAGACACAGAAGGTGAGAAGCGGATTCGTATAGATTCGTTTGACAGGTTGCCTGATAGGTTAGAGAACATTCTGTGGAAGGGGATGTTTCCCTTGAGTTATCTGCCATTTTAGAGATAGAACTAAAAAAAGCAAATTTTTATATTGCTCAGATCTTAGGCTTTGAAATTATGCCTTACAATGTCCTTAGCAATGTGGTTTCAAATAAACAACCCAAAATTCAAATGCTTACGACAGTTATTTCCCTTGCGTTGTTTGTGTCACATATCAAGATTGGTTATATCTTATAAGGCCATAGAGATAGGAATAAACAGCATTCCTAGCTTGATGTATCTAACATTGCTGCTCCTTATGTCAGCAGTAACTGAAGATATGCGCTGCAAGTGGTTCATGCAATTCCAGTATTCAGAATATGTATGCTCCACTCCTGCGTCGCTTCGTACAAATTAAAATGATAGGAGAAATTAGGATTGGATCGGAGGCTACCGTAAGAATAAAGGTGAATGTAGGGAAGGGAACACATTTTAGCGTTCCCTTTGGTTTTACTAGAGTAAGAGCTCCTTTTGTAGTTTTATAATTAGGCCGTGAGCTATTTTTATGGCAGAAATCGTATTTATAATAGACTCGACCGAATAGATTGGATAGGTCAAAGAGTCTTTTGAAGATTAAAGAACTTTTTGTGAAGCTTTTCTATTGAATTGAATTGAATTGAGACAGGATTGTTTTGCAAATTCAGGACATTCGTTGCAAGCTTTTTCATCTGTAATTTTGATTTTCTTCTTTTTCGTGTTACTTGTAAATTTAGATTCGAAATTTCCCGCAAGACCCGTTGTTCTCGAGAATCCACAGAGAAAAAGACTCCTTCCTCACTTTTTAAAATGAGTTTTAAGATGGACATTTACTTTCTAGAGAGTGGTATCAGAGAGCTAAGAGTGGTTTTCTTGATTGTTTAGGTTCTTCCAATGATGGGTGGTGGGAATGGCCTAATCACCCTTGTGCTGACGCCAGATTTTGAGACGACTGGTGCAAAGCTTGAAAGGATGTCACAAGAAATGAACAACAACGTGGAGGAGAACACAAAACTGCAAGGGGATCTCACTGGTTTCAAAAAAGAGGTTGATCTGCTTCGTGGTGAAATAAACAGAATGGGAGCAGAGAATGACAAATTTGCCGCTAATAACAAGAAATTGGAGGAAGAAAATAATAAATTTGCAGAAAACAATAAAAAGCTTGAAGGCCAGGTAAGTTCGTCATTGAATATCACGTGTCTTTGCCTAAGAATTTCTCATTTTCTCAAACGAATTTGCCAGACGGAGAATATGGATTAAAAATTACTGAAAGTTCCACTATGGATTTTCCTAGCAAAACGTCAAATTTCTTCTACTTTTATACTGTTTTCCAGCTTTGTGGAAAGCAAACATGAATTCAAGTTTGTTTTCATAAAATTTTGTAAAGGTTTTTTAAGTATATGATCGAAAATTTGACAGTGCAGTAATCTTCATTGAGTAATTGTTTAAAATTTGTACTTCGAACGAATTATGAAAGCCTGAATTTTCAATTTGACTGTAAGTTTGGTTTTTTTTACATCCGCTATTGCATTGTTTTTTTATGCGAACTAGTTGTACAAAATGTTGCACAAGATGAGAATAAAATTGCCTCTAGTCGCTATTTTGCAAGGTAGATGTAGAAAGATGGTTGGGTTTTATTTAAAAGGACTCGCATAAGGCTGAAAACCAAATGATTCCGCCTGTTGTTAATTTGTAACGAACGTCATATGTAGATTTACCATAAAGATTACTGTAAGAAGACTTGACTGTCTAATTTCAGGTTAACAAAATGACTGAGGAGAACAATAAATTTGCCGAGAACAACAAAAAGCTTGAAGGTGAGGTTAACCGTATGCAGGGTGAAAACGATCGTTTTGCTGCGAGTAATTCCAAGCTGGAAGGTGAAGTGAACCGGCTGGAAGGTGAGGTTAGCAAGATGGCAGAGGAAAATAACAAGTTTGCAGAGAACAACAAAAAGCTTGAAGGAGAGGTCAACCGTCTTGAAGGCGAAGTATCGAAAATGGCAGCCGAGAATGAGAAATTTGAGGAAAACAACAAAAAACTTGAAGGAGAGGTTAGATTTTTACTTGTTAGATTGGGTTGCGAAAACTGCCATCATCGCAGGCAGAGAACATGCATTGCAATTTTAGCACCCCTTTTTATATAAACATATATTTCTCAAAGAATCGTTTCGGATAAGGAAAATGTGAAGCGGAGAGGCGAGCAAGGTTTTGAAGCCATCAGGTGTGTGAGGATGGTTCAGTGGTTAGGGTCGCTGACTGCAGATCCAAGGGTTTTGTGGTTCGAGCTCCTGACATGAACAAACCTTCTCACAGAGTGCGGAAAGTCGTCAGCTTTTTACCAGGCGAAAGGAGAGGCCATTCTCATTGTCCTGCGTTGCAAATGCAAATGCAAATGCTTATCACGTTCAATTGTCAGAAATGAAAGAAAAAAGGAAATAAAAAAGACATATTTTCAAGATTTCTTGCTTTTAGCAGGCTGACCAACAAACTGAAAATGGAAATCGATTGCTGATTTGTGCATCGAAATCAGATTTTCAAGTTATTCTCATTCAAATTAAAAATATATGCAAACTCATATATTAAGGGCCAGAAAGAGTTGTTGAAAGATTAAACGCCATTCCATCCAAAATAGCTCTGCGACAACCTATGAAAAGATCAGTCTTTAAAGCTGATAAATTTAAAGCAATATGCGATTTTCTTAACTGCACATCTGCCCCTTTATTCCAATGAAACAGCATCTGAATTTATACAATTAATTTTTTTCTTTTAAGTGTTCTTCATTACTCCTTTTTGGAAAATCTTGATATTTGAGATGGATCGCTTCAGTTCATAAGCAATAATATATCTTGATCTAAATTCTCTTTTTTAATTTGCTTTTAGGTTAACCGCCTAACTGGGGAAGTGCAGAAGATGTCGGAGGAGAACAATAAGTTTGCTGCCAACAACGAAAAATTGCAAGGTGAAATCGACCGCTTGAAAGGAGAAATAGACAAAATGGCGGCTGAGAATGAAAAGTTTGCCGAGAATAATAAGAAGTTAGAAATAACGGTGAATCAGATTACAGAACAGAATACCAAGTTTGAGCAGAATAATAAGGACCTTGAAGAGCAGATAAGAAGACTCAAAACTGAAATTGATAGACTGGGTGAAGAAAACAAGAAGTTTGCTGAAAATAATGCGAAACTTAAGGAAGAGGTTTGTTGCTAGCGTTTTGTTTATTATTATTGCGTTGTGGCAATCTTTGGTCTGTACATTTGCATTGCCTGAAGCGTTTGCAAAAAGACGGTGCAAAAAGACGGTGCAAAAAGACGGTTGGTAAATTGGGGTCTTAGGAGATATTAGCTGTTAATATATTTGCTCGGTACCAGTTTTATTTTGCCAGGCAACAGAAGTGATTGATGGGTATTTCAAAGTTCGTGGATCATTAATAGCTTTTCCAGGCAACAAAAGTCTTTATTGCAATGTCTATACCTTTTGATGTTTATTCAAAACAAAAACCTGAGTCATTAAGGGCTGTATCAAGCAAACATTATATAGACAGCGCCTTTCTTATTGGGCCTAAATCATTAAAGGATATGTCAAGCGACCTCTTTGTTGAAGGAAGCTTTCTATTTGCCTTGGTCATAAAGCCTCTTGACGTTGAGCGATGGCTGGTTGCTGACAACAGTACCGTTTAATCTGCAACGCGTTTATCATTTTTGATATTTTACTCCTAACTAATGTTTGTTACCAGTTGCTACTGTAGTGGCTTTCTACAAAATCTGCTACTTATATCGTTTTACATGGACTTATCAGTACACAATATTTTAAATGCAAAACACACAAAACTGTTGCGAAATAATGGAAACACATTCATACCGGGAATTATTCGCCAGCATTAAAGCAGGTTTCGTTAAATGAGGTTTAAGCTTTTCTTCTGTTTTTGCCAATCGACTTTTATTAAATAATTCCTTATTTACAAAATCATCACTTCGCTTATCCTTCTTGTCCTGCTTTCGGAAAGTTGTGGCTTTTCTTATGATACTAGTGAAGTCCCTCACATCACTGTCAAAGCTTATTCATGTCATAACATTCGTTGTCGGCATAGTTCCTAGTTGTTGGTCTTCTTTGCTTTGATTTATTTGTATATAACTGTTCTGGGGCAAGAAGTCTTTCTTCGTGAATTCCGCGTGAATTCTGCGTGAGTTCCGCGTGAGTTCCGCATGGAAAATGTACCCCTCCCATGCGGCATTTGATTTTGTTCGATATATACTGTTGCATCTTCTTAATCTGCCTGTATGCTACCCTTGTATACCGAAGTTTAAGCAAGGTATCCTTTTTCTACCTCATTGATTTACTGTAGATAGGATTAAGTGCGCAGCGAGATATACGTGCTGTTTAATCAAATTTTTTGTGCCATTTATTCAATTTGTGTAGACGAACATTAAAGGCTGTCAGCTTTTATGTGCACACTGATTTATGCCAAAATATGACATTCATGGTGCACTTTTTGTACGGACTGTATGCCAAGCTCTATGTCCATGATTAGAGATTCATTGATTGCATTAAAAGGCTGGCCTAGTTTGTTGTTCTGACAACGACAGGCTGTTGGGCTGCATGTGATGTCACCTTATTCATATTACTTAAGAAAATTTGATGAGATAAACACCCATCTGATCAATGAACATTGTGCCTCCAACTGATTAATGCTCTTCTCTCTGCGTAATGTGCCTCCTTTTGAGTAGTCCACCTTCCTCTGATCAATGCGTTTCCCTCTGAGTAAAGCGCCACAACTGAGAATTGCGCCTCCCTCTGACTGAATCTCCCACTGAACACCCCTAACACCAAACAAATATCTATCTGTCTTTCTCTATAATACGATGAAATTCGTTTCTAATTCATAATAATTCCCGCCTTACTCGAGCTGAACGACCCTCTTCAGACTGAAATCTTTGATAAGCACTTTAAGCTTGTATTTAGAAAACTACAGCGCGATTCTTCGATCCAATTTTGTTGAAAGCTCCTCCCACTTTTTTCTTTTGCAACAGAAAAGCTGCCCATCATACTTGCGAAGTATTTGCTTGGAACTCTCTAAATTATCTGCGAACGATCCCTGCCTTTAATTCGAAAGCCAAAGATAATTTTCTGTTTGGTTAAAATCATGAATGGCTTTTCAAACACCCTTTTCGGACTTCATTCTGAACTCACACTTAAAATTTGAAAGATCTTTAGATTAATCCTGTGAAACTTTACAAAAGTTACATTTGGTACGTGAAGTTGTAATCGAGTTTGGATTTTCTGCATAGTAAGCAGGCGTGGTCATACATACGTTGATTGGATGAGCACACGAGGAAAACAAAGTCTGTTTCAGCGATTTGTATTAATCCACTCGCTTTCAAGTGAATGAAATTCGCTTCTTCAGTAATTGGTATTATGTTACCACTAATTGCCAACAAAGGGCCGTTTGCCTTGTTTTGTGAGCAAAAAGGTTGCTTTAAAAAACCATAAATGTACATCCTTGATATGCAGTGGAGCCTCTATACACAGACACCTCTATACAACAGACACCTCTCAGCATCGGACACCTCTCAGCAACGGACACCTCTCAGCAACGGACACCTCTATACAACGGACATCTCTCAGCAACGGACACCTCTATACAACGGACACCTCTTTAGAACAGACACCTCTATACAACGGACACCTCTATACAACGGACACCTCTATACAACGGACACTTTTATACAACGGAGAATTACAAAGGTCCGAACGGCGTCCGTTATATGAGGCTCCAATGTATCCAGGAACAACTTCGATCGCCTACAGGGGAGGATGGCCGGGGCACATTTAAAGGCCCGGGCAAATTTAGGGGCCCGGGCATATTAAAGGGCCCGTGTCTATGTTCGTTGTCAATCAAGGGGTTCTTGGCGGCCTTAGAACAACAATTCTTACTTGTTCCTAAACACTCAACATACGTTGGGCTACTGCGTCACTGTGCCTCTCTCTCACTTTGTCTCTTTCAAGAATCTAGTCGCCCGCAGTGTCTCTATCAGAATATGTTTATGAACTCTCTTGTCGTTTTCCTTGCCTGTTTAGAATTAGTTTTTTGTCTTGTTAGTTCATTTTTGTATCCAGGAACGGATTAACCGGGGGCTGTGGAGGGTGCAATACCCCAAATATTTTGTTTTCTTTGGTAACTTTTGCTTCGAATCTGTAAAAAGCATTTTTTAGTGGTCAATAGTAAGAAAATGATGAAGTAAAGTTGATTTGTTTGTCTTCTTGTTTTATTTTTTTTGAAGTTAAAAACTGAATTTTAAAATTGGGGTTTTCCAAAGTTCACAGTCCCCTGAAAGTTGTGACAAAAAATCCAGTAATTAAATCCCGCTTACTTACAGCCACTTACATCCGCCTCTGTTTGTACCGATCTGTTTTTCGATCCGCTTTCAACAAGTTGCCCGGTCATTTAATTGTTCATCGAACGATCGATCAATTTGCTGATGTTCTGCTAAACCTGTTTTGTATCCAGATGGGATTTCCGCGGAATATTTTGACTAGATTTTGAAGTCGATTGCATCGATCAGCAGATTTTTTTTATAGATGTTATATTTACATATGGTGTTTTGTTTTGGCCTGCTGAAGAGTTTCGGTTGCATTACAAAATCAGTTCGATCATATGGAAGAAGGGCAGATGTTTGTAAAGTAGATGATTCATATTATTGTTGCATTAGAAGTTTTTTCGACCCTTGAATCTGGCAGGCTATTGGTCAAAGATTGACACCGAATGCGCTCAGCTACTTCATATATACAATCAATTTTTATCTGAGTAGAAAATACTCAAGTAGACGAACATCAAATAAAATTGCTGAAGTTGCTAAAAAGTTAAAAGTAAATTACATCGCGTAATTCGACTGAATGCGTTTCAGTTTACGCATTGCCAGTGTACAATAACTTTGACTGTTCTAACCACTTTATGCAAACACGTTCACGTGTTCATATAAACATTTTTCCCGAAAGCGTTCACATTTTAATGTTACATAAACGAGCAGTAAACTTTCGTATATTTACTTTTCATGAACTATTTCAGCTACAATGCTCAAGAATTTACATTTATATACAGTGGGGATGGGGTGATGGCCCTTTAATGGAACATGTGTCCATTCTTTGTCTTGTATATTCAACGCTGCGTTGTTTTTCACTCCTGTACGAAAGATTGCCAGGCTTTAATTTTGCTGTTATTTTAGTATTGTATATATCTTCTCTTCGAGATCAAGTTAAAGGTCGTTCTTATCGTGGGACCCATGAATGTTTCCTGTTGTTCGTATTAAAAAACAACCAACATCACATCGCTTTATATTTCAAACATGATCTCGTTCTCATTAACATTTGCGTCATCGGCGCATTATTGCACTGGGTGAATACACCATGTGGTGGGTGTTTATCATTGCAAGCTAAAAAATTTCCGCAGTTTTGGTTTAGCTGTACGAAAATTTTCTTAATGCGGCTTGGGTGAAAGATTGATTCCCTAGTTTTTAACGGTGCTTTTAATCCTTGCCTATAACATATCGATTTCGAAAAACGGTGCTATAATTACAGGGTTTGTGCGAGGATAAAAGCTTGCATTTACATAAAGCAAAACATCTAAGTAAAGATCAAATGTATAATTCGATGGCAAGGCATTATGCAACTTAATTAATCTAACGAAGTAAAGCTAATCAAATCGTCTTATCGCAACTTTCATACAGAACATTCAAAGCATACTAACTATTCTTTGGCAACAATTTAGATCATGTCTCTACAGCTCGTTATATATTGACTTCCTCACCTTTGCTTAAGTTAACTATTGATGTTGTATTGACGTACAGGTTGTTAAGGCCATCATGTTCTGTATATATTCATCGACTGACGCTCCTAAGCTTTATTACCTCGGTTTGCGGAAAGCCGTTCGACCGTGCCGTATTCCACCACTTTCTTCCCCGTTGCCTCCGCGCGCGCATGAATAAGCGGAAATTAAAGAGCAGGATGAGACTAGGGTCCACTAGAGAGTTGATAAAAAACGAGTAGAGTGATAGTTTAGCAACCCACGTTGTGATCCATTCTGGGCGAAAGTTCAGTATGATGGTCGGCAGCCAGGTAGCCACTGTACTCATCGTTACGGAAATAACCAGTATTGTGGATGTGAGTTTTCTCTTGAATGAATGGTCGGCCGATCCGTGTTTCGATGCGCGTGTAAGCACTTGCTGCTTGCCTTGTTTGTTACTTCTCCAAAATATATACAAGCGATGCATGACGAAAAGCTGGAGCATCACAACCGTGACTACGGTCGTTAGGAGTATGGCAACCAAGAAGTATCTGTAGATTTTCTTCATTGTTTCCTGATAGCGAGGTGAATGTGTCCAGCAAAACGGCAAAAAGCTGATCAATGCTGGCACAGCCCAGCTCATTAAAAGGATTGTTATCATCTTGCCATTGCCAATTTGCCGCCTCCAAAGTGGCCTCGCAATGCTCGCGTAGCGATCCCATGCCAAGAAAGCGACATTAAAAACGGCAACGAACAATATATATGCGTATATGTACGGAAATGCAGCACTTTGCAGCAGTAGTATTTCGATAATGCGCATCGGAATTACGACAGCTCCAACGAGAATGTCACTCACCATTAGACTTACGAGGGTAAGTGTCGTGGATTTGCGCCGTTCAGCACGTGTCGATATTGTGACAAATATTGCCAAGCTGTTCAAGAGGACAACGGAAATGGATAGCGGAACGAGAAACTTGAGATCAGACTTCATGACTGTATGCTTGTTGCAATAAGATTGCACTCAGATGGAGCGGCATTCAAATTTATATCAGCCACTGATCTGTAGCACCTGTCTTGACATTGTTAAAGAATCGTACAACATTTTCAGGGGGGTTACCTTGACGCTGAAGGCGATGTTTCGAAATTTTTTGCTTACATGATGGGTTTTACAGAGAGTAAATTATATCGCTGTTATGAAAACAAAGATTTGCAAGATTTGAGTGTGAAATTTATCCCCCCTTGTCGAAAAAGATAATCAAAGTGGTTGCATAACCTTCACACATCCTTTTTTATGTAAATTATTCAATTTGATTTGTATTCATATTTGTGACAATATATTGTAGATTTTAGTAATTTTATTCCAATTTTTTATAGATTCTGCTTTGCAAAATATTCCACTCGCTTTGTTTTGCTTTTGAGTATCTATATTGCTCTAGTTTTCATCATTGAAGTAACCTCAACTATGATATTAAAGTTATAGTATTAAATATGCAACACCTAAATTCTAACTTCAATACTACAAGATGTATCCAGTCGGGGTTGAGCCAATGTTTTTTATGTTTGGTTGAATCGTGGAAAGGCTTTGAAGAGAAAGGTTTTTTAATGAGATATCGGTACGATTGACATAGATCATGAATCATTACTTGAAAACAAATAGGTAATTACGTCATCAGTGCCCGGGCCTCCCAGAGAAAACTCCAGTTGATGCATTTAATGTTGAATTTATACAAGGTTGATGCAAGGAGTTAAATGCAAGGCACCATTGCTTATGACATCAAATCTCTTAGGGTGAGCTCTGCAACCAGGTAGACTTGATGATTTGCGATTTTCTAATGCGAATGGGTAGATATTTTCAAGGTCAGGGGAATTCGTTTACCTAAGGCTGGTAACCATGAAGCAGATCTAAAAGTTTCTACGTGCCTAGTTAGATTTTCTATTGCGAAGAAGTGCAAGACAGCAACTGATGAAAAAATAGGATTATTATTTGGAATTGCTTGTTATTGGTATGAAAGCGACCGGATCCTTTACTTCTGAGCAAAGCGCGATCACCGTCTTTTTAAGCAGTTGCTGCGCTTTAGCGGTCACTCATCTGTTGCATGTTGCCTCCCACATGCACGTTTTTAGGTCAGTTCGAATGCTGGCTAGCGGAACTTATTTGTCCTTCTCTTGTAATAATTTATTTAATCCGCTAGACTGAAAACCAATGCTGCCTGCAGATGAAAATAATAGTTTTAGAAAGCACCGGTGAAGTCTTTTCTATTTGCAGCGGAACAGTCGAACAGCGAAAACTGGAATACAATCACACCTCTCTCATTTTTTCTTGGGAAGAACCACAGACGGATATCATACTTGCCCGGTCTAATTTTCTCATATTTTCCGCATTTCTGTAGCATGGAACAGTCATTTGGTAAAGCTGGGTTACATAATCAAATTGAAACCAAAAACCAAACATCGAATTCATAACCTTGTTAGTCATCTCTCTCTTTTGAATTTTTCTTTTAAAAATCGCAAGACTATGATATTGAAACAAGGGAATGATTTTCATTTCGGCCAGTTTACATGTTTTATCAAAGTTATACAATTTCTACATTTCATAGGGGTTTAGAATCGTGAAGTTTTTTGGTCATTTTACAATTTGAGAAGATGCCTGCCAAGTGGTGCAAGTCTTACGTAATTTCGGCGATTTTCAAGTCTTACGGCGTAAGCTGAAATCTTACGTTTTATTCTCCATGCGATGTTATTTTGATATATTTGTTTTGAGAAGTTTGAAATATTCCGTACGCGCCATGTTCAAATTCACGAGAGCGTTCTGGCTAACCGGTGAATAAATTGGTTAGTTGGCAGTAAGTTATCATTTTGGCTTTCATATGCTTTGATAACTGTTCTATACATATAGTTCTGGTTTTATACACTCTTTTTTTATAAGGATGTTGTTTATTATAATATTCAGGCCCAGAATCATCCAATTTTTAAGAATATTGTAAGAGCTCAGCCTCAGCACGTATATTTCTGTCTCATTTTTCAGCAGTTGCCTGTTTTTGTGAAGTTCATAGCAGGGAATTGTAGAACTGGCACATCTCGTTTTTCAATAAGCATTCTTTTTATTCAATAGCGGGCGATATTCCCCCAAAACCACATCAGATTTGAAAAAATAAGAATACTTTAAAAATATATTCAGGCTCAAAAGGAAACTTTCTTAAAAATATCGTGCCTGGACAAAATTTATAGTATCCTTAAGAAAGAAAGAGTGTTCACAGGATTGTAAGGGGCGAGAAACCCCAGAAGTTTGATGAGTATGTTGATAATGGACAGCTTTGCGATCGTCGTCATTTGATCGTTATCCTGGCATCTGTGATCCGGCAGAGTTTCACATGTAAAAAATATTTTTATCGCAAAAGTGATGTCTTCACATTTCCTTATCTTAAACATGCTTAACACGAGGAACTCTTTCCCACAGCCCCGATAAGAACATACATTTTACGCTCTTTCAGGCTTAAAATTCCTAATAGTAGATACATTAATTCGGAATCGTCAAAACTCTTTGGAATCGTGAACATGTTGTAATTACAATATTTTCATATAAAACTGCTCTTCATATCCTAGAATTTTATCCACATTAGCCATGGAACAGTATGAAACAAATAAACCATATTTTGTAAATTTATTTGAACATTTTGTAAAATGCACTGCAAAAGCAGGCAATGTCGTCAGTTATTCGGAGCTTTTTAAAATTCACCTTTAGTCCGCCGCTTCTTTGGTCATAAATTTCTCTCAGTGCCTGTAAATTTATTCTCGTTTCGCTTCGTTTTTAAGGAACGGGTTCAATTGCTGCAGGATTTCCACAGCCTTGTCTGAATTATTGAACAACACGCCGCAATGAAATGACGAGGTTGAATCATGTGCAATGTTGAATGGGGATAAATTTCTGTCTAGACAGCCAATACGGGATTTATTCTTCGCAAATTTTTTCTTACATTTCCGTACTATCATCTGCAAGAAAAATATAGCCTTTTGATAACTTTTAGTTAAAATTAAGCAAAGATCAGGTATAAGGCAAGCAGGCAGAAGGATAACTAAATATGTTTCGAAACGATTGCATTACGAAACATGCATAGACTGGCCATTAGATAGAAAATGTTGGGAAGTTTCATTAAAGATACTTGTCGTTACTTAAATGTAAGACACTAGTGCTTGGAAGAGTCAAAAAGTCAATACTTAATTCTTACTTACATCTTACTTAATTCAACCAATTTTGAACCAGTAGAGTTTAATTACCTGATTGGGGAAATTGTTTCGAAAATTAATTGATTTGAAATTGTATCTATTTTATGACTATAATACCTATGAAGACTTTCCTTAAGACTTTCTGGGTACTGTCCTTAAAGAATCTTATGTACCATTACTACACGGTCTTTCAGCCCTACTACACGGTCATTCAGCCCTACTACGCGGTCATTCAGCCCTACCACACGGTCATTCAGCCCTACCACACGGTCATTCAGCCCTACTACACGGTCATTCATCCCTACCACACGGTCATTCATCCCTACCACACGGTCATTCAGCCCTACCACACGGTCTTTCAGCCCTACTACACGGTCATTCAGCCCTACTACACGGTCATTCAGCCTAGCAGCATTTAATCGTGTAGGTGCTATGTGAGCTGACTCATTGAAATGAACTACATTTTCTGCTGGTTATGCAAGATATAAAGTGTGTTACAGAGAGATGGCTTCATAACAAATTTTCATAGTAGAAAGACAGAGATTCCCCCATCATGCTCATCAATGACTTCAACATTCTCCATAGTTTTTTTTATTCTTTATTTTATTTTTTTTAATTTTTTTCTTATTTTGTTCATTTCTTTATTCAATTTCGGTACAATCTCAAGTAAATTAATACCAACTGCTTTCAATTACCTGCGCTAAATATAATGTAAATCAAATATAAACGATGTTACATATGTATTCCTTGCAAAGATCATAAGTACAATAGAACGTTGAAAATTCTTCTTCTTCTTAATATTTGTAAAGTTGGGGAGTATTTTATTTCGTTTGGAACTGGGTTCCATATTTGGCTACATCTGTATGATACAGTGTTAAATCCATATATTTTGTAAATAGATGTAACAAATCCTTGTGATAGGCATGTGAACGCTTTGATCCTTGTTCAGTTTATTCCGCTTGTTTCAACTGTGTATCTCGCAACATCTTTATTATTTCGTTATTTATGACCACCTTTCGCTGTCTTCGGAGCCCCAAACGTACTCACACCATCTACAAAGCAGTCGGCTTTCATAATTACCAAGTTATTTGAGAGCAACTTAAAGTAAATAATGGTCTTTGACCATCGATATAACCCTGGACAGCACGAATATGCAAGAAATCACTTTATGATTAGATCAAATATGCCAAAGGCTATCTGCATTTTCAACATTGTATATTTTCTTGCCATTGGTAGCATCTGTCTAACCCGTCTTCAATTGCGTCAACTGCATTTAATCTTTCTCGAATTCTCCAGCGTTGTGCTCTTACACATCTTCATCTTAGTCCTCTAAGATCCTTTATCCCCTTATCAAATTTTCCCAAGAATGCAGGAGAGGTTCCAAACCTGTCCTTTACAGGTTTCTAAAATATCATTTCTAATGTTATTGCAACTGTAGTCTACGTCAAGCTTTATGCATCGTCCTGCAATAGTAATGCTCCACAGCCAAGGCAACTACAATTAGTCTCGAATTCATTTCCTGTTTCTCTGAGTTGCTTTATTTCTCCTCCGTAATGTTATTTTGTGACCTACCATCCTTTGAGCATGCTACTTTACAGTCACCTGCAGATTTTTGTTTATAATTTTGAGTGACTTTTCTGCAATGTTCCCTTAACAGTGCTTGTTAAAAAGATTATCTTCAGAGACTTCTTCCTCTGGTTACACTTACCAATAATCAGCCACACACTTGTTTCCACTTTTTGGTCTCCTAAAGATTCCAAACCACCTAACTACCCTTCTCACTCAATGATTTTCTTCAAGTTTCTGTCCATGATCATTCCATGTGATTACAGAAATTTATTGGTTTTTTCTTTTTCTTGTTCCATGTCTGTCTGCAAGCTTCATTTTAAGTATTCGTGACTTCCAGTTTATACTTTGTTACCCAGCATAGTAAACCCTAAACTTGACCGAATTTTCTATTAAGAAGTTGCAAACGATATCCCCAGTATGAAAAAGTTGTTGCATCATTGACTTCGAAATTACATATCTGATTGAAAAGGAGTTGCACAAGGAACCTTGTGGTACCCTGTAGATTGTTGATCTGCATCTGATCTGCAATGGATTTTGGACGATTTTGGATTTCTTAAAATCTTCAATGGGATCTTATTTTCAATGTTTATTTTTACGTTATCGACTTTCTTTTAGACCAAGAATAAGTTAAACATTAATCTTTTTGTTTGCATTTTCATGTAATCGAAACATTTACGCTTGTGTGTAAGAGGGTGCAGTTGGTTGCTAATGCGTAATGTTTTGTTCTCTGTGATGATACTGTATAAATAACCCTGGCCTTCTTACCCCGTGAATTCAAGATGTGTACGTTAAAAAAATTAGATGCGATCGAGTTCTTGTTTTGAAAGAAGAACCTTCTTAGTGAAGTCATTACATTCAGGTACATGTCGCTCTAAGGGCACCCCTTCTCTCCCCCAATTCCTTGGCATCTTTTGCTTATTTTGTATTTATATAACCATATTTTTTCGACGGTGTAGTCTGGTGAAATGTCTGCTTGGCCTGTTCTAGCCCTTTCAGAATAGTTGAAACTATTTGAGATACAAAAACTTTCTTTGTTTTAAAGAAAAATTCGAGTATAGGTATGTTGTTAGTGTTTGAGCGATAGATTTTAAGTGACACGTTGTATATTCGTCGAAGATCCAATCATGTATCATTTAATGAAACCAACCCATGAGCTTTAGAATGAGCCACGCTTTTCTAGACTCTGGATTCTTAATATGAAAGCTTAAAAGTAACCAATACCTTTATCAAGCAAAGATTACCTTATTTAAAACTCGTGCTGAATTTGAAGGTGTTTCATTAAGCTAAACCGTCCTTTTCTCTCTGTTTCGATTTTTTCGTTTGCTTTCCGCAGTTTGTGATATGAACCAGGTTATTTAATGAAAAGCAGTTACCGATTTATAGTTGATTCGCTTGCATCTTACGAGCAGTTTTCTTTCCATAGCGATCACATATGCAAACGAATGTTCGTTATATATACGGCAAACATAAATATGTGGGGTTGCTATACGCATATCAGATTCGAAATTCGCTGTTCAAATTAGCGAGAAATACAAGTAAGCAGAAATGCACCAGTTTTACGCGACGCGAGTGATTTCAATCCCATCTCTACCCACAGATCTTCCCGTTTTCACTTCTTGGTTGAGCTGCGAAGACTTTTTTCTAAGTAATGCACGCCCCCCCCCCCCTCTCTTGATGTTGTAGGCAATTTTAATTGTAGGCATTGAATATTTGAACGGTATTGCATTGTGTGTATACAGATAATGCTTTGCCAAATAGAGATTAAGAAATGCAGGCACAAAATAATGACTTCTTTTCAATTAAAATGTAAATGTTTCCCTCCTTCATAGAACAATATCATCATGCAACTTTTAATTTCTGTTCTTGTAGGTTGAAAAGATCACGCAAGAAAATCTTAAATTTGCTGAGAACAATCGAAAGCTTGAAGAGCAGAATGAGAAATTCGCGGAAACAAATAAACAACTTGAAAACAATGTCAGCGAGCTGAAAGAACAGGCAGAGAAATTCAAGGCTATTTACTTGAAGCTTCAGGCAGAGAACGAAAAACTGGCAAGAATTCGTGATGATATGCAGGAGCAACTCAATGTGAGATTATTAATTCTTTGCCTGTGAGATTATTTCATTTTTGAAATTTGCAGCTTTCCTTATTCAAGGCATCTGAGGTAGTGAAAGTAGTGAAAGTAAGTGAAAGTACTGCCATGGACATGGTTGGCACCTTTAATGACTAGTATGCGCTTGCAAGGGATGTTGGGATAGTATGCGCTCCTTTAATGGCTAGTATGCGCTTTCTCGAACCCATTCCATCCGTAATTTTTTTTATTTTCTTCCGGTTAAAGATGGGGAAAGTTCATGTTTTTTCTTAAGCAAAAGTTCGTCAAACAGCTCTTTTTATAGTTATCATTTCATTCTCATTCAACTTTAACCATCTTTTATATGCCTCAATCCCATTGTGTATGAATGAATGTAAGGTTAAGACCCAAATACAAAATTATAAAAATTCATACTTAGCTTAAGATAATAATAATATTTTTCCCGTTGCTGAGCTCCCCCAATGCGATGTGCAGTGTCCTCCTACAAAGTATGATTTAAGGTTTAAAACGACCAAATTTGATTTCCTTTCAATTGTGTGTATTTTCCCAATCATTGAACCCCGAGAAAGAAAAGTGTTTTAAGCGCAACATATATCTGTAGTTATTGTACTTTTTGTTGCCAAATCTTTGCCGCAAATACATATTCGCGTTTATCGCGCGTGATATTCGCGGGCAGTTTGAGCCCTGTGATAGCTGCTGATATGAGAACGAGCACGTTTGCGGCGGAAGCAGCTTACATAACATCTCTCTTTCAGAATAAATGGCTCGAAGTATTATGAAAGGGCTGGTTTGTGGCTTTGGTTGGATTTTTATCAATTTATATTAATGCTGACTTGCTTGCTTTTTTAGGGATTTAAAAAGCTTCAAGAAATGATATTTGCGCAGCTGAATGAGAAGATGAAGGCTATGGACAGATCTTTGTTGGAGAAAATTGCGGCAGACATAGAAATGATGGACAAAGAGCAAGGTTAGAAAATTTCTCTTTTGTTCTAAAAAAAATCCATTTTAAAGTACATATATCTAAATATTCTCATATTGTTAATTAGTTTACAATCCTGCATGACCATTTTTCGTCAGCAAACGAACGTTGGGGTTTCTTCTAACTCCTTTCCTCATTGTGATTATAGATAATTTTTTTGAAATAAAAAATCGAAAAATTTGATTTTCTTAATTGCTGTTTATTACGTAAAAAGGCAATAAAAAGGCAAAAAAATGGTCAAATAGAACATCGTGAGCATCGATGGTAGGCTTGTTTTTTAAGAGCTAAACCAAAACTGCTTTCTCTAGCACCCGCACTTTAATAAATTCTCACATTGCTTTATCTGCCCTTTAATATTATAGGCCTTAATCCTTCTATTTCTTACATTTTCCATCTACTTCAACTACCTATTTCTTATCTCAAGATTCGACGGTGAATGGTATAACCCAAATACCGGATTTTTTATCTGAGCCAAACGCAGTATATTTTTAACACAACCTAGGATTACGTATTTAATTAGCCTCCTATTAGTAGCGAGGTCGTAATCTGTTTTCATTGCTCTTAGGTTTGTCCAAAGATGAGTTCCAACGCTTCCTAGCAAGGGTACCAAGTCACTTGAAAGATAAGTTCGAGAAAGTCGTGGCGGACTTCCAGTCTTTTGATAAGAACCAAGACAACATAATTGATTACGATGAACTGAGTTCAATGCTTGATATGGTAATGAAAGAAGAAAAAGATTGAGGTACTTCAAGAAATTATTTCTAGCACTGTTTTTACAAAAAGAGTTCAAATATGCATATCAAAACGCTGCCTTGTTATAATTTTCAGTAATCGCCGCGCTGCAGTTTTTAATGTTGTTGATCTAGGAGATGTGCTGTTAGATTTTTTAGTAGTTTTTGGAGTTAGCGAGCAATACCGTGAAATTAGCGTTTGAAATCTTTGACTCCCAGAGTGTAACGCGACCAAACACTCCCCTGTTCCTGCGTCTGTCTCGCGTTTTACCCGTAGCCTCGTTTTTTTACCCAACGCGAACAAGCAATCATTGGCGAGGACGAACTGCTGAGATCTCTTCTGTTTTATCGCAGTTGTCGCCACCTGTGAATTTTCTCATGATCTTTCTAGTGTTTTGCAGTGGAAATGTTTTGTGTTGTTATTCATCTCCTATTTTCATCTTGATTCTTTGCGCTGCCTGTTGTTTTTCCTGTGTAAGAATCGTTGAAAGGCAGCCAGTTCATAGCAAGTCATTCACATAACAAATTCTAATATGTTTAATTGCAGAATCGATGTTTGCAAAGATGACAGGGGACAGACTTGCCAGCCTCAGATTTGTCGTTTCAATTGTATAATGGGGGACATTTGGGAAAATTCAATCGTAAAACAATTAATTTCATAAAATTTTACAGCATTCAGTATTTGATATCTCGGTCAATCATTAATTTGTATTTCAGTATACACAATTTTCTATAACCTATAAATTTCAAGTTGTTGCCTTAATAAGTTTTCATTTAGCTAAATATTATAATAATTGCTTTGGGTATATTACATTCATTTCCATAATTTAGTCCATAATTATTTTACTTGGGACAATTAACAATTTTTTTAACAACTCCTTCTTGTTGGAAGTTGTTTTCATAAAGATGGCAGCACTACCGTCTTACGGGTAAAATATTTTTGTGATACTTAAAATATTTTTCTACTTGCAACTTATATCCTTATCATGTTTATACCTTACACGTGTACATTCTTTATACGGTATTATTTCGCAGCACAGTCCTTAGTATTGTAACAGTTCTCAATATTGAAATAATTGTAGCAGTTTATATCGATTTTCTATTTTTCGTGGGTTTTCTTAAACTTTTCGGTCTTGTTGCAGGTTTCGATCGAATCAACCTCCTTGCCAATTGAAGTTGTGTATTTCGTTTTATCTTGCTGTCGGAATTTTGGCGCATCTGCTTCTTTCGATCAAGTCTGCGAAAGGTTCGAATTGGCAAAAAAATATCTCCTAAATTTTGAAAAAGGGGAATTTTTTTTCGAGCACGGTTCATTTTTTAGGTATCTAAAGTGAGAATATAAGCAGTCTAAATGCTTTTTAGTTCGATCAAATTTGAAGAGAAAATCAGACAGGGGAAACGCAATCATTCTTATGCACAAATAATGCTATTCTCTTTAAAAAATAGTAAAGAATTTTTTAAGAGATTTCTTGATAGATTTTTACCTACAATCAGTTTGTAGGCACGCAGACTTTTAGGGTGAAATATGATGAGATATCACCTCAGTCCATTGCAAAAACTTGGAAATTACATTTGAGAAAAACAACTTTGCTTTGGAAGGGTTCCCTTGTGCATTTAGCACAAAATTATCTCAAGCAGGAATATAAATGGTCTGAGCACTTTCTCAAAATGCTTTGAACCAATTTGAGGGAAAAAAGACAGAACATGATCATTTTAATGCAAAACATTAAGCTATTGTCTTTAATAAACGACATATCTTTTAGGGAAATTTTTTCATACATTATTGCTAAAAATCGTTTAAAAACAAAGGTCATCTTCGAAAAATTACAGTTTTTTGATACATTTCTAGATAAAGATTGCAGAAAATTTTTCAAGAATAAACATTACATCGAAAGTTTTTCATGAAGGCTACAAATCAATTAAGTAGGGAATTGAGAAAGTCTCCTAGAATTTCACCACGTTTTGTAAACAGGCAATCTTTATCGGGCAAAATTTTTGGTTCAGCAAGTTTGAAGTAGGAATCAAAAGGCCGAAAATTTATCCTAGTATTATTTCAGCTTATTTGAGGGAAAATTGGTGAGGGAAAATACAAAAATTTCCATCCATAAGCTGAAGTCGCAATCTTGGAAAAATTACAGTTTTTATATCAATTTCTAGCCAAAGATTATTTAAGCATGAAGATTAAATTTCAAAATTTTACGAAAAGGCTACCAATCAATTATGAAAGAATAAGAGAGTCTCTCCATTTTATAAAAATAAATAAGACAAATGATTTGGAAAAAATTCGCAGACTACCCCGTCATGTGGTGTAAAGTAGGAATAAAAAAGGACTCAAGTCTTTTCTTCAATCCAATTTCAAAACAATCATTTTATGCAATTAATTTAGGCCTCTGAAAAATTACGGACCTTTTCTGATAAATTCCTAGCTATATTTTTGCTAAAGAATATTCTTAAGCATAAAGATAATATCTACAGCAAGGAGTTGGTAAAATTATTTTCTCAGTTTTCGACACACACCGATACAAAAGAATTTGAAAAGAGGGATTTCTCTTGGCGAAAATTTTTCATAGATTTTATTACTGTTATTCATCGGTGAAATCAAAATGGCCAAGATTACTATCGATTAAAATTAAGATTAAGATTTTAGCCATTACTTTCAGCTGCTTATAAGAAACAACTAGAGAGAGATTGCACGATCATTTCTATTAAAAAACAAAGGCTATAGTCTTACCGTTCTCTTTGAAAGCATTTGGAATCCTTCAATCTTCCTCCGGTCAAATTTTTCCCCGTCAAAACTTTCCTCCAATTTTTTAAGCAATCAACTTGGGTAGGGCGTGGCTAGGGAGTGGCTACGGCATAAGAATGACAGACGCAAAAGATCGAGACAAAGTTGTCTTTTGTTCGATGGTAATTATCGCTAAAACTTTGCTAGAATACCAATCACATTACAGCTCAAGAATAATTTTTCCTTTTGAAATGTCGAATAATATAATCGATGGAAACATGATATAATATACATTGAGAAATTTCAAAACCATGAAAGACGAACAGAATTCTCTTTTCAGATGTGTTTTCTGGCAGTAAAAGGGCGTAGCCTAGAAACTCTATTTTGCCAAAACCTTTCTATTGTTTCTCAAACCTTCCTCCGATCAATGACCTTGCGACCATAATGTTTTCTTGACTCTGGTTGTGAAAATGAATGAACATGGCCTAGACTCTTTTTGATGGTGCTTTTAAGACAATTTTGAGGAAAAGGGAGAAACAAGGGGATTACTTCTCTGCAAAAAAATAAAACTATTATAGTATTTGAAAAATTGCAGTTTTACAAATGTCTTTTGACAGATTCTTATGAAGATTCTTAAGAATTTTTTAAGTAGACACCATCATTTTGGGATGTTGAATTATTTTAAGCAAGTTTATATGAAGATATGACCTTTTTTCAATCTCGATACATTTACTGTTAAATATCTGGGGCATAGAATTTTCACAATAGTTTTTGCCACTAGATTTAAAACATTCTGAAACTGCAAAAACTACAATTCTTGCTACTTGAAACAATTCTTTTCTAAATATACTGCAGGGATTCATCTAGAATTTATTCTGTCCTTGGAAAGAAACGTTTACAATCCAAATAAATTGCTATCTCTTTCAAATATTGAAATGAATATTCTGAAGTTCTCTGTTAAAACAATGTAGTTTTAAAACTTCCATGAGCGTCGAATTTTGATCAAGATGTAAGGGTCCATTTAGTCTTGGGAAATGGTGCTTAATTGGATAGAAAATGTCGGAATCAAGATTGTCAAAATAAAACATTTATGCTCTAGCGGGAGGATTAATGGAACTGGCTGATCTCTAGAGACATTTTACCAAATTAACCTTTGGTAAAGCAAAACTGGAAGATAGCACGGAAAAGCAGCAATTTTCTAGTTCTTGATTTTCGAAAACGCTGCATTTTCATCGAAGTAAGGCTATTTTCTTGGAAAATGGACTTTTGCGGGCTAGACAAGATTATATCCAAACTCTTTCCTTTTCATTTGACAGACCATAGTAAACCCCTTTGAATGAAATTAACTTTCTTGTTTGCTGGAAATGATTTCCAGAAATAATTAAATGATGAAATAATGTTGGTTTAAGATATTTTCAAGGCCAGACTGAAAACTTGTCGTTTTGAATTCGAATACAATTTGCAATTCTATGGAGCATATTTATTCTGATTCCAGGAATTTTACGAATATACCGCTGACACGAGTAGCAGTAATATCATATTTGAGATTCTCAACTTTGGTATGCCATGCAAACACAGCAAGATAGAAAACTGTTCTGAACATTTGATGTTTTGACTGTTCATTAGCTTACTATTTTTGTTATTAACCTTCTAAAATCACATTCCATAAAGGAGCCTGAGGAATACAACAATTTGCTATTTCTATCCTAAACTTTTTGCTATTTTTATCTTAAATTTGCTATGTCAAGTTTTATTTTATTCTACACGAGCAACAGTGTGTAACATTTTCTGAGGGTCATTTCGATTTTTTGCCCTAATACATTTATATTTGATTCTTTGATGGTAACCTCCCCAGCAAATTTGATGCGTGTAAGTCTAGCATCTTCCTGGTGACTTTTGTTTGTTCTTTCGTCTCTAACAGTGGCGGTAACGGCGGCATCTGGGGCCCTAAGAAAGAAACTGAGACGGGGCCCCTATCTAAGGACTGCAAGACAGTCCCATTCAACGCTGTATGGCATATGTGGAACAGAATAGCAAAATGTAACAATAATAACTTTTTCTCATTAATTAGGAAAAGCTGAGTTACAGAAGCTCCAGTTGAAGAACTTTAAAAGTTTTTGAAAATGAGGTAAACTTGTGAGAAGTCTTAAAAACACAGATAAAAAATATTACGAGGGCCCGTTTTGGCCGGGGGCCCTTAGATGTCGAAAATGTACCCTAAACTGCGTTACAACTCTCTAACCTTGTTTGGTTGTTGGAGCCATCCTAAATAAATATTAGTGCCTTCTCATTTTAGATAAGTATTGACTTGAATTGCATCAACTAGAAACGAATTGGAATTGTTATTTCCAAGAATTTAAGTAAGGATACAGCTGCGACAGCCGATACTGCTGAAAATAAGCTTGCTTCTTGATCAGGAAAAACAATTTATCATTCACTGTTGAACATTAAATGTTTCAGTGTCCTGATAGAATAAATTCTCAATTTAACACACGTCTGGATTTAATTAGAATTTACAATATAAAATATTCCATTTTCATAACAATAAATTTTAAAATGTTAAAATTATGAACAAGTTGCACAAGGGCCATAGTTGTTGTGGCAAACATCTTAACACATGCTTGGTAGCATAATGCATGATCTATTATCTAACCCCCGTCCCCTAGAGCATATTCATTCCAATAGCAGAAATATATCAACATTGAAACTGGGGGAGGAAGGGGGAGATGTAATACATTAAAACCCGTTAAATTTCACGATCATTTACTTTCTGAAATGTTCTGGCTTTTAAGAATCGTTTTAGGCTAAAGTATAACATAAAATTTCTTGTATGTGGCTCCGAAATGTCTTATTCTTAACAAGGAATTAAAACCATTAGGCCCCATAGAAATGATTTAAATATAATCATAAAAATGTTTCAACATATTCTCTATAAGTCTTTCTTTTTGTGTTTAGCTTGGAAAGCATATTGCGGGGCCTTACTGTAATTTAAAATGTCTGTTCAGGATTGTAGTGTACATTACTTTTCAGTTTCTAGCAAAATATTAGCAAATCTATTTCCAATTTGCAATCGGCTAAATTTCCTCAGGTAAATGCACATAGCATTCCTCGGGTAAATTTAACCTTTATCAAAAGTTCTCAATTCCTATCCCTTTTAGGCCAACATCGATATCACCGGAGATTGTATGTTCAAAATTCCTTGAAGGGGAATTCCTTATCTTCAAAATTAGTTATTTGCAAGTGAATGCTGGTTTTCTAAAAAAAACCTTTTTAATAGAAGAAAAATAGGCAAGGCAATCATAAACAAGAAAACCCTTTCTAAATTAGTTACAAGTTGCTACACTGACAATTTCCTTAATAGCATCTCTGTCTTCAAACAACTATAAAGATAAATAATTTTTAGATTCTTTTGAAAGTGTTTTTTTATGATTTCAGAATTATTTGGGTAAACCGAAGTCAAGGGGGGGGAATCAAGGCTTTTCTAAGCTACAATCATCTCCTCCACTGCTCTATCGGCTCGAAATGAATAGCGGAACCAGTTGTTTTATGAGATTACACAATTGTTTGGAGCCCTGCTCATCCAGGAGATAACGACTCGTACTGCGAAGACCTCCTCCGCAGCTTTTTATGCAGTAGCAAAAGCATAGCATAAAACTGAATGCAATAACAACAACGCTTAAAGAGGAGAAGAAAATGAAATCCTGTCGCGTGATTTTACTCGTGGCTTCTTCAACAGGCACCAAATTGCTTGCATTCACCATGAAACCCAGTGACCAGCCAACATCATGACCTCTTACCTTTAAGTACAGATGGAAATGCATCATGAGATAAGGCTACCCGGACAGGTCCGAGAAATGCAATGGGTACCCGTTGTTTGCGAGCACCATACGTATGTTTACACTAACTAATTCACAAGCACCACTGATGCAAAGCCTGGAACATTTTGAATCTTTGTTTAGTGGTTTGCATTCCGATAACGTTGGTAAGCAGTCGATGCAATTACCTTTGGCAGCAGATGGAAGGGGTCACCCCCTCTTTTAAATGACAAACGTTAAAAAATAAAAACAATTAATCAGAGACTGTAGGCTAGAAACCAGGTCCGCAAAGTAGGCAAATAGAAAATAGAAAGAAAAGGAAAGAGCCCGTCTTAATCAAATAAGGTTGTAACCCTCTTATTTCTTTGCAAGGCAAAACTTAGAAGAAAACTTTTCAAGACACCGATCTATCTTAACTGAGTGATTAGGCGAGAAACTGCTGGTGGTTGCACCTGGTTTTACAAAGCAAATGTGAGCAATAGCTTGTCGGATACCTGACTGAAGTTTGTTTTTAGTCGACTTTTATTGAAAACTGATTGGCTTTAAGAATAAAAAACTCAAAGGGACCTTAGACCTAAAACAATATAGGTAATAAGTGCAAACGGTGGGCGGGGCAAGGACAATAAACAATAGTTCAGTGATCGGATATTTTTCTACCAAATGTGACCCTACTTCATTGGAAACACTTTGGGAAATAAATCCAAGGTAAACTGTGTTATAAAAGAAGGGCTTTCTGCAAGCATTAGTCGAGAAATATGAAGATTGCTTCCTTGCTCGCTTGCAATTAGACGTCTAAATGTCCACAAAAGTGTACTTTGTCAGAAATGAAGAGAAAAGGTACTTACTTTCGACCTGAACTTGACATTTGTCGAGTTTTGTTCGAAATGGAAACCGTACGTCAAAATCTGATTCATATAGAGTGCATTGAAACAATTTTTCGGTAAGAATTTCAGCGAAGTTCCAGGGTTTTCCTCTTTTACCTAAAAAGCAAAAAATACTTTCAAAAATTTCTTTAAAAATTTGTGTTTTTTAAAAACAATATCAAAATTATTTAAACGAATTCAATCAGCTGAGATTGTAAAAAGATTATCAATCTATCTAACCGCTGGTACTTAATTAAACAATAAGTGACCGCGGAAACAAAGGATAAACACATCTCAGAGGTTTAGGAATTTTTTGGCAGGGACAGTCATCTTCCTCGGCGATCGTTAAACGCTCTTGCGCAACCGGCACGCTTTGCGACTGTAATTCAAAAACCGGCCTAAAAACGTACTGTATGAAAATACAAAACACATAAAATTTCTCAAGACAAATGCCGCTACGCATGCCGGTTGCGCAAGAGCCTTTGAAGAAGGGGTGGGCAACCTACGGCCCGAAAATTTTTTTGGCCCGCGAGATAAAAAATATCACATTATAACATATTTTTGGTTGGCAAGGGTGATTTTCCCAAGGGTGCGAAATAGTGAATGCAAAATAATTTAAAATTCCTTTGAAACTCATCCCCGAAGAGAACAGCCATCTCGGTCTTGCAGATCTAAAAGTACAACTAAAGCATGCGATTCTGCTATCGGACAGCATTTACTGGAAACCAAGATTGTGCAAAAAACTATAACAGCGACAATTTTTCGGATTGTTGGCAAAGCCCGATCGTCGTTCCATCTAGCAGTTTGGGAATCTATCTACGTAAACATGAATAGCCCACTTTTGTGTAGACAGAAGGGGTTAGTTTTCACTTAAGGATTCAAATGGCATTCTCAATAGGCAAGCAGCACTGTTTGGGCAACCTCGACAGTCATATGCTCGCGTTTCTGATTGGCCTATTTTGATCCACAACTTGGTATATATATTCGAAAAGCTTTGGTATACTCAAATTTTTGCTTTTTTCAAAGCTATTTTTAAGTTTTGTACCACCAAAAGATTGTTTGCATAATCTAAAATCTTGATCAAATAATGGAAAGATTTGCTCACTGTCCATCGTCACGAATTCATCCTGCTTAAAGACAGGATAGCAGAATTTTTTAAGGGACTGGGCGAAAGTTATCAAATGCTGAAAGAATAAATCTGACTGGATGCACTAATGGCAGTTGAGCAGGGATGACGGTTGTCCCTATTTTGCCATGTCTCGTTGGCTAGGGTGCTGGGGGGCAAAAATGGATAAATTGGTGTTTAAGTATATTTACTCTAGGGTCTCTAATAGACGAGCCCCCCGTATATTAATTTCAGAAGAATTTGCCATCCCCCGTCGCTTATTAGCACCCCCTTCTATTAAATTTTACAAATCTGTCATGACCAGAACACCCAATTTTCACTTGCCAATAATCCTCCTTCTTATGTTATGTAGTTACTTTAATTTTCATAATTTCCCTTGTTATGTTTGTCTATCTTTATCTCTAACTATCTATCCATTATCAAGTAACCAGTGTCATCATCCTACTAATTCCATTGCCTTTTAATTAAAAGATTTACCAACAACCACTCCTTCTATTAGATCCCCTTTGCTATTGAAATTTGGTGACATTTTATTGAAAATTGGCCAACCTGAACATCCCCTTCTATTAGCAACCCTCTTCTATTGAAAACTGGCCGACATGAACAATTACCTCCCCCTTCTATTAGAGACACTACAGTAGGTGGATGGTCTGAGTTAAAAGGCCGATGTTGGAACGTTGTATTTCCTTGCAAAGACGATTTATTCAAACCCTGAATCACAACCTTTTAATTTTGGTTGGGTTCTTTTAGTTTCTCTTTTCGCATTCATACTTGTTACAGTCTTTTCTTTCGTTGCAAACTATTTATGTAAAAAGAGGTTTGTAATTGTATTGTAATTGAATTTAAATGAAAGTTATTCATTTTTTTATCATCATTTTTTACAGCTATTGTATTCGTTTTTCTTATTACCTTTGGCCCTCTTAAAGAAAAGGTTTGAAAGATCTGGCCCAGTCTCCAAAAAGGTTGCCCACCCCTGCTTTGAAAGGAATTTGCAACGGTGCTTCTGCAATGTAATCCAAAATTTTCATGATTAGAATTTGCCTTAAGTTGTTGCCCGGCCGAAGCTGTTCGTATGCCCTGCACATTGCATTACTTTACTTGTTGAGAAGAGGGTAAGGTAGTTCCATCCCCGATGAAGAGAGAGAGGAGCTGAAATAAAAAACCAAATTATCGACCTGAAATCAGCAAGTTTATTCAGTTAGGTCTAATAAATTCGATTACTTTACCTGAGTCCAAGATTTTTGACAAAATTCGCTGCCAGACCGAACAAAAGCATCAATGCTGTCATCTTCGGTCAGGTTAAGAAAATCGGCTATGAATCCATAACCTGAGAAGGCCTAGAAGATAAACCTGAAACACTTAGTTTTTGTTATTCCAAAGGACGTAAAAGCAAAAGTAAATACACAGCAAAGCGTCTACGAAAATACAAAGAGCCGGATGGAAAAAGTACAATTTAAAAGGTAAAACTGAATCTTAGATTGATCGGAACCTGAATCTAAGATTTAGAAGGCTTTGCCCTTCTTGACCTTATTTAAGAGAATTCAATCTCCATCGGATTTGTTAGTTCTACACGACGGGGTAGAACTAAAAGTACAAAGATGGAATCACCCTTCAATTAAGAGAAAAACAAGGTTTTCTCAAATATAATGTGCTTGTTTTGAAAACATAGATTCCCGATAACGATTTGCTTGGCCAATACCTGATATACCTTTTCCTTTTTCTTTTCCTATTGCAGGATAGGAAAACAGCATTTCTGATAGACAACTACCGTTTTTAACTGAAAACAGCACTTTTTTAAGCTTCTTCGCGGTCATTGAAAAATCTACTGATGATTTCACGTTCAAACGAGGATCTCTATAATGCTGAAAATGTTTTAGTTTTGGTAACCGTATCGATTTAGATGGGGCAGATATTTTAAGATTGCAAATTCTGCGGATTCAACTTAAAGTTTCACTTTCATGAAAGGTATAGGAGTTTAACGAACAAACACACCACAAAGTTCCCAGTGAGCTCTGGTTGGTAAATTCCATCGAAAGAACACGATCCAAAGTTACAAGAAGTCTCATTGAATAGTTTCCTCACGACTTTCATGCACTCCTCGGGGCTGCTAGTCCCACTAAAAGTATAAGTGCTGCTGTCGTTAATCGGGAAAATGCTTCCTTTAGGCTTGATGCTGCATGGCGCAAGCCAGAGCTCCTTCGCAGTTTCTTTCGCTTCGTATCCCTCCGGAAAGCAAGGGTTACTCACATTGGAGGAGTATCCAGATTCCTGAAAAAGGTAAAAGACTTTAATAAGAAAACTATCATTATGAAGTACCACTGGCCTAAAAATTGTCATAATGATAATTATTGCTCAGCAGACTCATTTTACAAGAGAGGAGGTTCATCTTGAATTGGATTCTTTGACCCAATCCGGTTAGAAAGGTAGTCTCGTTCACATGGCATCAGGTCAGTTTCTAAACCATTTCTCTGGTTGATCACGTGCAACATTTCGCACTTTGATCCATGTCTACAAAAACCCTCTGCGTAAAACCGGAAACTGACAATGAGGTTTCATGCGTGTACGCGTATGAACGTATGGAACTTCATCAATTTGAAACACATTCATGACACATTAAGAGCGACGTGAAAATCACTCTACAAAAATTCAGTAAACACAGCGGCAGCAAGACATAGATCATTTAATTACATTAATAAATCAAGCCACTTCATAAAGACAAGAAAATATTGCTTTCGATTTCTACAAGACAGAGCTATTTTCATGATAGATAGGTCCAAGATAAAAGACGAATGTTCGAATAATTTTCTTGCCGTCGTGGCCTAATAAGATCATAAACAGACCCAGCCAAGAAATTCTCTGGAACAAAACTGAACAAAGATCCAAATACTACAGTTATAACACGCGATTCGGCAGAGATCCACAGATCCAAGGTATAATCTGGAGTATGCCAAAAAAGGATTTTGCCATTCAGCCATTAAGGTCTGGAATGAATTCCCCATACCTACCAGGGGCTTCCTACCGTATGCCGATTCAAAAAACAATTACAAACGCATTTGATCGGCTGAAAGCCCCTAAAACACGAGCCCCTAGAAGATCAGCAGCGACCTAGCTTTAAATATTTTACATTCTGCCTAAAATGCTGTATGTAAAATATCAGTTAATAGCTGTATTGTATTTTAATTATTAATAGTTTGCTTATTGCATCATTAGATTTAGCTGAAGGGGCATTCGTGCATAAATAATTTAAAAATCAAAAACATTTCTTCGCTGAATTCTGATGAAGAGGGTTACCCTGGAAGCCATAGCCGCAAAAATTAACAGCTGCAAAAAACGAGAGCTGCGGAGGCAAAGGGGAGAGAAACTGTTGAAAAATCTACTCACCTGTATGAGGCTCGCCAGCAGCCTCCTTTCTGCTTCTTTCAACCCATAACAAAGAAAGCTGTGAGTGTATAAGATATAGTTTCTCCCATACAGCCGCAATTCACTTCTGTACTTGCTTGGTAAATCTGTCCCTGTTTTCGGCATAAAAGAAATTTCTGCGGAGGCGCCTCCCATATCCAGCGCTCCAAATGTTGGTCGATCAGATGATTTCTAGGATAAAATCAAAACATCACGTGTGACTTCATTGGTATAGGAAGAGAAACGCTGCAAGGTTAGCAGAACACAGAAAATAGTCAAAAGAGCTTCTTTTGTCATTTATTCAGCATTAACTAAATAAATGAAAAAATGAATGAAAACTGTATAAATTTAAATTTAGGAGCATCAAGGTAAACTTTTCTGTAAAGAAGGCGCAGAATGTTGATCAGTCGACTGCTGACTGCTTGAAGTCACAAGAAAGTGATTACGAGTAACAACTTTGATAACGACAGTAGTCTGGTCTAGACAAGAAAGCGAAACCTGATGCTTTCCATACAGAACATCCAAAAACAAGTTTGAATATTTTCTCGAACAATGAATTCATCCCCTTTTCCTCTTTTTGTGGAAATATGTCTTATGGTCTCGAAAAGCTTTCACTCTGTCAATATCAAAGAACTGGTTGAGTCATGCTTGCAAAAAATTCTTTTTCAGCAAAATCGTACCAAGGAAAGACATAGACTACAGATAATTTGTCGTGGCAAAAAATCTTCTTAAGGTCTAAAGAAACAATCTCCGACCTTGATTTCAATAAGAAACTTCCAAGCAATGAGAGAACTGCATACCCTCTTTTTTATTGGAACAATTTTATAAGAACACATACCTCAAAACTTGTTTAAAGTTTAAGAACAAGCTGAGGCTGGGCTACTGTAAAATATATTCTTGAACAATGTTCCATCTCAGCAAAGAGGAGTTTGTGTCATCTAGGGGTGTTTTTCGTTGAATTTTCAAACATGTCGGCAAATTAAAGATGCTTTACTTACTTGGTTGGTAAACGGCATGAATGCCTCCGTAAAGCGCAATAGCTAGCAATTGCACTGCTTACGCCTAAATAGTTTAAGAACAAATTAAGAACAATCCAGCCTCAGTTTTTCGAAAAAATTAAGTAAAGCCAGCCTGAACTTCAAAATGGTCACCCGTAAGTTTATCAACTTCTACATTTTTTAACAATTCTCTACAGGCTCTTAATCAATTCAACTCGCCCAACTCAAACCGATAATAAATGAAACATAAACAAATAATGTCTTAAAATCGATAGGGCCGCCAGCGTCAAAGAAAAACCGCTAAGAGAATTGCTCAAGGCAGTAAACTATCTAATCTCTGTTCAAACAACGGAAGTAAACTGTAATCTTTTTCGATAGATTTTAATGAAAACAGACAGGACATCGCAGTATTTTGCATCTATCGGTTAAATAAGCAAGCATAAGAAAGGTCTGTAAGTAGAAACAGCTGCGATTTAGCAAACACGGTAATGAATCCAAAAAGAAACTTGTTTAACTGTGAGCAAATCTCGGAATTCAATTACGTAACTGCTTGATAGCAGAGCAGTTCTTGCGTATGCTCAGTTTAAACAGGGCTGGATTGTCGCTCACGAACCACTATGACAGAATTCTCAGATTACACCACATGAAGATGGGTAAACTAACATTTCTAGCAGGCCTTCTTGGGATTTTATGGATATGCCAAACCTGGCAGGAGATTGCAACGCAAGGCACATTTTTTGAAGAAATAACAGAAGACATTCAGCTGGACAAGGAAACCATGCCCCTTTTCATTGGCATTACTCCGACATTTCACGCTTGCAGCATGAACAGCAATTGCGGGTTTGTTATTAAGAACGTCCACGAGGAAGAAAAAGAAGCCACTACGTTACCAGAGAGCAGGGAGGGTCTGCGAATCTGGAAAAAGATGCAGCCCCATAATGACAGGACTAGTGGTGTAACAACTATACCAAGTAAGTGTCGATGCAGCAATTCTTTTTTAAGTTTAAGTCTAGTGATCAGCGATTAGATATATAGTAACAGTTTGTGAAGATTAGATGATGTGTTCATGTGGGTGTTAGTATCAAAAATATTTTTGTCTGTTAAGAAATATGCGATGCTTCGTATTTAAAGGTAAGAAAGAGCACATGTATCTTTGAGAAAGACCACTTGTATCTTTGAGAAAGACCACATGTATCTTTGAGAAAGACCACGTGTATCTCTAGGAGAGACCACACGTATCTCTGAAGCAATTTTAAAAGCAATACGTGAAGGACATTTAATGTAAAGAAGACATGTTTAAAAAATGCAAAGGAAAAGAAGGCATTGCCCTTAACAAAGGAAGTCCGCAATCGCCTGATCTGGGTGGGAAAACGTCGTTTCCATACCCGTTTTTGGAATCAGCTGAAAACGTTCAGAAAAGCGCTGAAAACGTTGATATGGTTTTACTTTATGCTTAACATGACATCGTGGTACCAAAATGTCAAGGAAGTTACGAAAACAGTAACACCTTGTTGGCTTCCTTGACCTTTCTCTCTCCTAGTTAGCAGTCTCTTTCCAGCTCACTCAATAGAAGACCTTAGATAAGCCTCAAAAGGCTTCCTACTACACACTTATTAAAGACGACACAAGTTTTTAAAGTCGGTATTTCTTGTGGTAAAATGTAAAATGAAATTCTTTACACCGCATTCATCGGTTAGAAGATCAATTAGAAAGCTAGTTTGATTGTGATTTTTATTTGGAACATTTCCTATGTCGATTAATGTGACCTGCGCATCAAATTGCATTGGATCTTAGTTTTTCTGACATTGATGCTTCGCAACTTGTTTTCGTATCTCCAAACGGATATCGATGCTTTCTATTTTAGGGGCGTATAATAGCTGCAAAGATGCCATGGAAGATGGCATCAACACTAGCCAAATAGTGACTCTATCAACAAATGGTGAAAACTTTCAAACATGGTGCGACATGACGACAGATGGTGGGGGTTGGACGGTATTCCAAAGAAGAGTTAACGGGAGTCTTAGTTTTGAGAAAACCTGGCAACAATACGAGAAAGGGTTCGGTGACCCAAGCGGCAACTTTTGGCTTGGACTTGAAAAAATTCATCTTTTGACAAAAGCAAAAAATTCAACCTTGAGGGTCGATTTGATAAATCTGACATTAGAGAAAGGATACGCAAAATACAAACAATTTGGTGTAGGAGAAAACCAAACAGGCTACAAACTTGATGTCGAGAACTATGAAGGAAACATCGGGGATGGGCTTGCGTGCTCGAATGGCATGAAATTCACTACATCTGACAAAGATAACGATCTTCATGGTTTCAACAACTGCGCTACATCATATAAAGGTGCATGGTGGTATAATAAATGTTGCAACACGTATCTTAATAGCATATATCATAATATAAAGACAGAAAGTCGATTTAAAATGACATGGCATTCATGGAGAAATAAAACCGGAGATATCGTTTACTCAGAAATGAAATTTCGATAAAGTTGTATGTCACTCCTTACCCCCTCCGCCCCCCGTTTAAAAATCGAAGTACCGTTTCATATTAAATGTCTCAAACCCCTCCACAACCAAATATTTTCAGAGCATTCGAATACTTCCTACTCGTAGAACATTGATGAACAAAATGATGATCAGAAAAATTTTCAGTCACAATGTTTACAATAAACCATATTAACAACCTGTTTTTCTGCGATCCTCTTCTTTAACATATTCACAGTTACCCAACCAAAAGTACCTTCGTCCTTTCCAGAGAGAACTTTCACGCTGTCTTCAAAGGTCTGAAATTTGTATTTTTTGAGAGACCTGCGAATGGATTCTATGATCTGCTCGCAGGTCGTTTGGTTTCTCGCACTAAAAGAAAAACAATATGTGTCTACAAAAACTTGAAAACAGACATGGCAACAGGTATATATTCTTTGATTTCATATCATCGATAAAATTAACCTGAAATACAAAGTAAAATAAATTTCACTGTCAATGCACACTCTAATGTTTGGAGCCTGAAGGACTACTATGTTAAACAGTAATTCCCTGTAAATATAAAATATTTCTTGTTGAAACGATTTCTTGTAAAAAAAATTTTCTTGTAATTACCTCGACTCGTTTTACATTGTATTAGGATTACTATCATTATTTTATTACATTTTAATTTTAACAGGGCCCTTGTTGATAACAGTACTTTCTAGTACTGATAAGGTACTTTTACCCTGTACAAATATGTATATTATTATTATTATTATTATGTCAAAGAATGTCAGAATCTACAGCATATCTGAGACAATCGAGGTAATCAATGTTTTGTCAAGGTACAATTGGACAAATCTACAACTCTTTGCAACATCTTGCGGGCTACTGATCAACAAAGAATCGTCTCTGAAAACAGGCAACATCTGCGATTTAATAGCAAAGTCCCTGACAAAGGGTGTTTTGATTATTCACTCTCTTCCCCCTTAGGCACTCTTCATTTGTGTACTTGCTTGCATCCGTATTATGGTTTGTCTCCACAGCCGAGGGGCAAATCACTTTATGATAATCTTGTACACTTTTGGTAGCAATCATATCGTTTTGTCAGAAAACCCGTAGAAATCGTTTTGGTGGAACTTCTATGCGCTCCCTCCAAAAGTGAATTGCCCCTCGTCCACAGCCATGTCAAGGATCATTATACACTATTCATGTGGAATATTAACATGACATATTTTTTTTGCTTACATTATTGAAAACTATATTACAATCTGGAAATTTATTTATATCTTTCTTTTAAAAAACTTTGAGAGCCTTATACTATCAAAAGTGTGGGCCTAATATAATTATTTTCATAGGATTAATGGTCCTTTGCTGCTACGAAGAATAACACTTTTTGCAACAAGCAGGCGATAAATGATGATATCGTTAAAATTTCAAATAATAGTAATATATGCAAATACGATGTCTTGAATGACTACCATTTGCAAGAAAAACAAAGACATCTTTGACATATGATAAATAAAAAGGCTGTGAAAATCTTGGACCACTAATTCCAGTTCTCGCGTGCAATTTCGACAATCGCTATCTCCACTTGAAATGATATTGATATATGCGATTAGAGTTTACGCTTTTCTGTGTGTCTTGTATGAAAATTGCCTGCCTATAAGATCAACATTGTTCTGGGGAGAGGGGGAAGAGGGGAGGGAGGGGGAGGGAGAGACTGAACGGTTTTCTTAGTTATTTGGAAGACTTGCTTCCCTAAACGTTCACGTACATAACGAGTCTAGATCATTCCCTATTTTAACATTCCCTTTCGTCTAGATCATTCCCTATTTTAACATTCCCTTTCGTCTAGATCATTCCCTATTTTAACATCATGTAGACAATAATGACTGGTAAAATAAATTCCTGCCTTTTTAACAGCCAAGATATTTTGCCAAACCTGAAAATGGTATGGTGTAAAACATCTCACATATATATCATATACAGCTATATAATCGTTTTATTATCATTATGATTCACTGAAAATTAGACTTAAGTATAAACTATCAACAGTAAGACCACAGCAGAAATACGTCACATTTCAGCAGCGTTGATTAGAAAAAAACCCTTTCGACGAGTTGTTTGATTAGTCTCACGCGAAGAATTTTTCTGACACGTGAATTTTAAGGCTAGACGTGTAGGTGCACTGTAGACTTTGTGTCTTGGAATCAAGAAGCTCATAATGAGCCACCCCTGAAAAGCATTTAATTGTGCCCATACATATCATAAAAGATAGGCTTGCAAGGAACCAACCATAACAGTCTCATTCCAGCTGTAGCTCCAACATAAATGGGAGTGTGATGCCTGTTGTGTTTTGGCACCTTTCCAAGTGCAACGTCTTCGATACAACGTTCAATTATCTTGCTTGCATTGGAAGGGCTCTCAGGGAATCTCGATATCCCAAAATCTAAAAAATAAAGTAAAATAATGATTAATATCAGCTAAGGTGCGAAGTGCTGAAAAATTGTGGAGAACAAAACAGGATACAGAAAAGCAAGAAAACTTATCAAGCAAGAAAACTCTTTTTACAGTTCCTTTGGAGACAATTTCTTTTCAAGGAAACATAATTTATCTCAAGAACAATAAGTTTAAAAACTCATTTGGACAATAAAATATATGAAACACTCAGATGAACATGAATAATAACTATTGATAAGCAATAAAAATTACATATGCATTCATTATAGATCAGAGAGTAAATGATTCAAAATAGCTAAGTTTAAGAACATAAAACGGTAGTATAAAAAGACAGGGGTGAAGCTATAGAGAATTTAGGTTGACAACCCCTGATTTCCCAGAAAATTTCTCCACTCATGTGTCACTGTAGGCAATAATAGAATGCGGCCAAACAGCTTAAAATGAATTTACCTATTTGAGTGTCATGTCATTTTAGGACCATAGGTGAATTTCGGAATACACAGACAATTTTCTGGCCAGGAATGGTTATGTATTATGGTTTAATTTGTTAATTGTGTCAGTATATCTTCGAAATTTAGAACATAGGATCTACAATCCCAGACAAAAATGAGACTTTTCAAGGAAAGATTATATTCTCACTTTCCTTTAAAAAATAATGTTTCCCTCTCCCCCAATCCAATGTTGAATGCACAATTTTGAAGGAGAAATGATAGAACTACAAATCCAACATTGCTTTGGGGGAAAAGGGGGGATTCAAACTTACAGGGGCAAGGTAAAGTAGAAAACTACAAAAATTGCATTTTGTCTCAATATTTTTGTCCGGGATTGTAGACTTTTTGTATTTCTGAAAGATTGTGTCAATTTGCCAACAAGCTCAAAGCAACACCCTCACATCTGTCTTTTGACTACACCCCTGTAGAAGGAAAATAGAGGAAATTCAAATGTCTATTGTATCTGAAAAAGATCTTACTGGAGCATGTTGAGTATCCAATTTGGTTGACATGGGCAGTCCCTTTGTATTTAACATCACTTGGCCACCTATAAACAGTTATATCTGTGTGGGTTGATCCAGCATCAATCACCACCCCATACTATAAAAAATAAGGGATAGAAACTTATTATCAATTGAAGAAATAACAATGCAACTGAAATAGCATTGAAAATACTTAAAGTGGAAACTTTCTATGATTAGGCCTCTTTAACTACAATCATAAAATCGATTTAATACTTGTTAGGTAATTTGTAACTGGCAAGCTTGCTCTTGCCAAATACCTGACTCACAAAAGTAGTTGCAAAAAGTTTAAAAAAAAACAAAAAAGAGGTAACCTTAGGTAAGCATAGGTGTTGTTCCCACATTTTGTTTGAATATAAATAGGTATAAAAGTGATTATAAAAAATAGATGTAAATATAAACAACTGATTTATTATTATGATGGCAGTAAAACATTATTAAGATATCAGAATGAATAACATCAAACTTGGACATGCTAACTTTCTTTAGAAAAGAAATTACAAAAAAAATTGGGATGAATTTGAAAAATCATCTTGAAATGTTAAAGAAAAGAATTCTTCGCATTGGAGAACTTATTGCGCTGACATGAAAACATTGTTGTTTGGAGACTTGCTTTAAGTGTAACTGGTTGGTTTTTCCAGCAATACTTTTGGTTTATCCAGCATTAGGTAACAGAATCTGAAGTTTGCATTCTGGGCCATTCCAGTATAGATAGCATAGAATTACATAACACAGCATTGCAAAGAATTACATAAGAAGTATTATATAGAATTGCATAATATAGAAATAAATATCATTGCTATGACAATTATGCTTTCAGAAAGAACAAAGACTGTTGGATTGTTAGTCACACAACTAATTTGTGACTAAAAATAAAAATATTTTGGTTCTGATGGCACTGTTCCAATATCCTAACAGAAAATCAGGGTAAAAGCAAATATGTTTTATCTTAATTTAGACCTCAAACATATCAATTGCTCTCTTCGTCTGTGCACCTAGCATTATTCTATCATAAAAGATCATGACTATTCAGATATTGGGTTATAAAAAATATGTAAAAGCATACATGATGTATGTGCTCAAGAGACTTGTTGCGAAGCATTGCATATGATACAATCATACCAATTGCACCAAAAACAAAGAAAGATAGTGCCAGAACAAGCATGGGCCATCTTTGACAAATGCAACCTGCTGTAAGAAAACAAATTTACTGTTAGAAATAGCAAGTGGGTATTCATCTGCTATAACAATCCTGAAAATACAACTTATAACAACAACCATTAATATTTTAGTAAACTCAAACTCAAACTCAAAACTCAAAATATTTTTTTCAACGTAAAATTGATTAATTACAATATACTGGTTAACATAATTATACTAAATATACAATATCCAAGTTAATATGGCTAAATAACAATGAATGGTCAACCGCAATATTTTATAGAGCAGCAATGAGAATTAAACATTTTTAGGCTGATGGACACATGGAAAGAACCTTGGGCAAGCTATCAAGCCATGTTGACGTGTTTATAATGACGATTTTAAGTTTGAATAATAACAGTAAGATATAACAAGAATAAAATAAAGTAGAACGAAATAAAAATAAGACTATGTGTAATATTGTAATAACAGCTAATAAAAGGATCAGGACTGTACCAATTTGTTTGCCATTAAACAAAAGCTTTGGTTTTCAGCACTTACCCTGTTAAAATCAAAATCTATTTTCAAATTTTGGTACCCATGCTAAATGTCTCTGGATATAACTTTACAGGGCTTACAATTTGAGGAGGGGTGTGGTAATAGCTCATGCTCTCCCCTCAACACTCTCCTCATAAGTTGTAGGGAGCTGAGAATGTTGAGAAACTGTGTAATCATTAAGATACCCCCTGACTTTCATAACCAGTGTTTTAATCCTGATTGACATTTTTATAGTAGATCAATATTTGCTTGTATATATGCTTGTTTATTTTTAACGAAGTTGAGTTGTGAGCCTAGAGAACCAACAGTATCATCAAAGAGCTATTCTTTGTAACTTGGTGTGGGGCTTACCCGCGTTCCCCACCCCAATCTTGTGAAAATATACAACAGAGAATGGCTTTCATCTAACTGAATGTAGAAATTGTCCAGTCATTTGCAGGTTCTGTTGAGTATTTTGAAAAGAGGTGCAAACAAAACTGTCAACATCAGAGATTGAGGGGACTTAAACAGCCATTACTATAAATAAACCTGCATTGATTTTTTTAAATTTTTCTTGACTTCTATTCTATGCCATTTTAGGAACAAATGCTACATTTGTTTTGATATAGCTCACCTTAACAAATAAGATACTTACATAACATAAATGTTCATTTATGACTTCAAAATATAGGTTTTGTGCATGGTTAGGGGCCTATGTTTCATTGAAATAAGTTAGTAAATATCTTATAAAATCCAGCACTACATACTGCAACAGAACTTGAAATAAAAACAGAAAATGTCTAGAAATTTTCGGACAAAACGACTACCATCTTTTTTAGCTGAAACCAACAAAAAGAAGGTTCACTTTTCAAACGACAAACGACAAATGTTGAGACCGAAAAGGTTAATAATAATGAAAATTAACGTGCAGCGAGTACCTCATCGTCAAGGTGTAGCTTTTAGATAAATAGGGTTTTTGATGAGGATCTCAAGTACTTCATTTCTTAAAGTGCCTTGCTATAAAATACGTCCAAAAACTGTAAAAGGTTTATGGCCTCAAAGGAATATGTTTCTTATTAACTCTGCCTACTTACCATCGTCATTTTCTTCATTACGGCGATCTGGTTTTTCCATTGTATTCTCTTATATGCTTTTTATCCAGAAAACAAACATCTTTAAATAAATAAGCGATCTTTTAGGCTCTGAAATAATTTAGTAAAGAAAAACTGAGCTTAAAGCACGACATAAACAACAACTCCTATGGTTTTTCTCTTAGTGCCAAAGCGATGAGATGATCGGAAGAAATATTTGTTCTGCCTCTTTTTGATTCAAATTTCACCGCGAAAACGAGAATCGCTATATCAGGAAAGAATAGGGAAGGAAATTCCAACAAATTATATATAAATTTTTTTCAAATCATGTTCTTAGCAAAGTTATTACTTAGGAGTTAATGCAAGCTAAGTGAGAGTATGAAATTTGCATAGTCAAACTTTATTTGAATGCCTTATTTAAATACGTGCTTCATATAAGTGTGTTCTCTATGGAATTTGCCACACGCAACGCTCTTTGTTCTCAACCTGATCTTTCGTCCGAAGAGCTGGTTGCCAAAGTTAATTTCTGAACAGTGTGATTTGCTTCTAAAGAAGAGATATTTATATATCTTGGGTTCAGGTATCAAGCAGCTGTAGCCGGAATATAAACAAGTAAGGGTTTTTTGACGGATAAAAGTGAATGGTGATGTATTAATCCTTGCAACACACAATAAGATGGCAAGGATTTCCATTTGCTGTTTTTGCTGGCCTTGTGGGAAACTATGGAAGTGCCTTGGATTCAAGCCAATACCCCGTTCTAAGATAACACGCTCCATATATGCCATATACTTATTGACTTTGACGATCATATCAATAATACTTCTAACTCCAAAAGCGATGGCTGCTATACTAACACAACGAGTATGTGCGAGACTTGGACACAAAACATGCGAGATTCTTCATGGACCAGCTCCAGTCTACAGGATATTTATGGCAATTAGCGGTGTGCATCTGCTTATGTCAATACTGCTTATTGGTGTAACACACGCGAACCAGAGAAGATCGTATTTGCAAAACCATTTCTGGATTTTGAAGATTGGCGTTATCTTGGCTTGCACGATTGCTTTCATCTTTTACCCGAAAACTTCTTACACTGGCGAGATCTGGCACTTCTTTGGACTTAATTCCGCCTTTGCTTACATCATTCTACAATTTATTCTTCTTGTAGACATCGTGCATGCATTCAATACTCGAATTGTCAGGCTAATAGAGGCGAGTGATTCAGTTTCGCGCTCAGTTCATCTGTATCTTATACTTTGGGTTCCAACGACACTACTTTATATAATGTCAATAATTGCAACAATTATGCTTCTTAAAACCTATGGCTTGAGACAGGAGTGCAGTAACAATACGTTTTTCATTTCCTTCCATGTCTACATGTGCCTCTCAGCAACATTCATCTCAATAAACCCTATAGTGCAAAAAGCTCGTCCGAAATCTGGATTACTTCAGTCATCCGTCGTGACGTCATATAGTACCTACATACTGTGGATCACACTGTCAAATGAGCCAGACGAACGCTGCAATTTAAACAGGGAATACATCTACCCGATGGATCCTTTGAAAAATGTACAGATAATAGTAGGACTGGTTCTTACTCTAACGATTCTTTTCATATTTTGCATTAGAAAAGTGAATTTTCCTCAGTACGGAAACACAGTTCCGCCTCAGCTGGAGTCGCTGCTGCAGGAATCGCTTGAAGCAGCGGATTATTCAAATGACAACAGTGGATCTGTTGTAGAAGATGAAGCATACGGAGTTGAATGCAGCTACTCCTTCTTCCACGCGGTGATGTGCCTTGCTGCATTGTACATTATGATGACATTGACATGTTGGTATAGGCCGGAAGAGGGGGAGCACCACTCCGTCAAGCTCATAGCTGGATGGGGGGCAATCTGGATCAAACTATGCAGCGGAATATTCAGTGTTTTCACGTACATCTGGACATTAATCGCGCCAGTGATTTTCCCAAGATCGTACAAGGACCTTGTATTCTATGATTTACTGTTTGCTATAACATAATTAACAATCATAAAATGTCATTTTTTAAATAAATATCTGAATATGAATCTTACCAATACAATCATTTTGCGGATACAGGAAAAATAGAATCAAATCGTTTTTTTCTAATGATATAATTCTTTTTAAATTCATATAAACATTAAAATACACATAGAAAATGTTTGCCACTATATTACCTCGAGAAGTATTGAGTAAGCATATTCAGGTAGTCATCACCATGATCATTAGATTCTAAATACATCTGCTTATTATGCATTTTGGAGGGCTATTAAAGGGAAGTAGCATGGAATTGAAATAGGGAGGATCGTGGCAATGTGGGGTTACATTTACCAAGCATGTAGAAGGCGGAGCAATACCACACTGATCTATTCCGACAGGAGTCCCTGATGTCAACTGACAACGAGTAATTTTGAAGACAGTAACGTTTCTCAAACAACATTTTTATTGTTTTCAGATGTTTTCATGTTTTCAGAAGTCAACATGACATCCCAAAAATGGAATTCTTAAAAGACGTTTTGTAACAAATAGAGGAAATTATTCATATCTATTCGCTAAAGGTTGCCATCAAATTACACAAGATGAAAGCCATACAATAAAATGTCAGGCTACAATACTTAAAGGGCGCATGTCCTAGGTGCACCCAGGCACTAATGTCCCACAGAAAGCTTTCTGCTTTGGATAGCTTACTTGGAGAGCTAAAGCAAGAAGCGGAGACTATATAATGGAACGAGGAGGCAAAAGGTTAACTGGGGGCTAATCATGCTAAAAACCAAAAATAAGGGCAATTTTTGTATGTTTTTAGTACATTTTGACTAAGCTTCCTCGTCTCCCCGTTTCGCAGTCCCTGTTCTCGATATAATGCTACTAAAAAGACTAGCTAAACAGAGACTTGCCACGCAACAGATTGGAAGAATAAGAGATGATTTTAATGTTATATCAGAAGCATAGCAAAGCTAGTAAACAAATTGGCTAACAAACTGAAGAAGATAAAAGTTTGTTATCACTTCTATTTCTTCTAGAGCGATCTGGAAGAAACTTGATTTCGCATAAGAAAAACTCGTCCCCATATTTATCATTGCTGTAAAGCGTGTTTTGACAGAGCAGCAAATACTGCTCCCTTGCTTTGAATGTTCTAAACGTTAAACATGCCGACCGTCTACTGCTTAGCACAATCTTTTCACCGATATCTGTGTACAAGATGTAGCCTTGCTTTCTGGCCGGTCCTAGTTTTTTCTTTACTTTGACCAAGCATAATCCCAATTCCTCGAAAACTGCACTTGCCTCATAAGGAACGATATGTTTGAAATTCTTGCGATGCCAAGATCGAATATCGTAGTTGTAGACAACAAATTCCACGCATGAAACTTGCTTCACTCCATTAACTCGTATTAAGCCTTTGCTCGATTTCACTTGCATTCTCACTGTTGAACTCACGCACTCAGAAATTTCGCGACAATGATGGGTAGCAGTCGAATGTACAACACTGGGCATGTGCTCTAGTTGATGCATAGCAATAAATACAATCCGCCAGAAGTGTTTAACTAACATCTCTTTGAACGGCTTTCCACCAAAGTACTTTGATAGCCAATAGTGATTTCGATTCAAGTTGACATTGAAGAGATTGGGGTTTTCAAATGTGCGAGAACAAAGCATTTTCCAAACGATGTTATTAAAACTAAGTATTTCTTGCAGTCTTGCAGGTTTTTGCAAACGATAAAATATCTTCGACACATAAAAAGCGAAAAATATCATAGATCCAAATACTTAACGGGATTTTGAATAGATCTTTATCTCTTTGAATGCTTTCCTCGCCAAGTCCATCGCAGTCCACCGAGTTAAAGATAGCTTCCATCATACTCAGCTTATGCTTGGCAAAAGTAATTCCCTCTCCGACTTCGTATACTGGATGCCTTTTGTACCAAAAAAGAACAAACGGGTTACTGATATCTTCCCGTGAGTGCGGAATGAATATCCTGTAAAGTTTAGAAGGCGAATTTTCTGACGAAGAATTGAGCATTTCACACGGCAATTTCAAACAGAAGCAGTTCGAAAGTGTTCGAATTAAAAGTTCGACAAACGACAAATCTATCGCTTTTAGTCTCTATACTATTTGATTTTTCGAAAAAGCACTCTGGGGAATTTAATGTAATTTGATGTGTAATTTTGACCAAAATTTAGTACGAATTTATTTGAAATTATCTACCCATCATTATGAAACATTCGAAACGGAACCGAGGCCAACAAAATGGCAGCGGGAAGAACCAGAGCACAATTATGATGAAAATTTTTGACACCGTTTCAATTCACAATTCAACAAAAAACAGGCTCGTAGACATATTAAATTCATTTCAATATTTCAAATTTTTCAATGAACTGTACTCCCAACAGTCGATTTGACTTATCTCGACAAGGAAGGTGGATATTTTTCAAAGTCGCCAGCTACATTAATTTCATCTACGAGTATAAAATAGCAAACAATAGTTCTTCAATTAGGTGGATGCCATCGATTGAGGAAATGGACAGCACGTGAACAAGGTCTCGCTACAGATGATTCTTACGACAAATTTATTAATATCGACATTAATTACAACAAATATCGGTAAAGGTAAATAACAAAAGGAGATTCATCCATAATACATTAATTAAAATTATGGCTTCGTTTTAAAAATATACTTCTAATGAATGCTAGTGCTCATAACAATTATTTTCTGCCGACATAAGGTTAAATTTTTTATTATAAGGAATCTATGATTGTGATTGGCGACCGAGGGTGACATGTTTGACCTGGAACGATTTAAGCTGTCAAAAACCTTGTATAAAAAACCAAGAATAAAATATTTTTGCCGGTTTAAAGTTGAATCTGATTGCGAAAGCAGCAAGAGGTTGCAAAATTAAATTTTGAGTAATTTCCGAAACGATGCTGCAAGTTGCATTGTTGTAATATTTATTGTCCTCCTTTGAGTTACGACAAGCACACAAAGGATATAAAAAATCCATACCCATCCATACCCAGTATAATCAGCTAGACAGGAATACGTCTGCACTTGACTTTGCACAAAGAAGTCGATAACAGTATCACCTTATAAAGCATTACCGTATACTGGTTGCGTTTCCATATATTTCTATGGACGGGATTTCATTAGAAAGATACATTGGTGTTTGATTCTGCTTTAGATTAAACAATTGCAGAACTTCTGTACCAACTTCCATCGTTTAAGGTTCCCCAGCTCTATTCTTTTAAATCCTGCCTCTATGGGTTCCTTCCCTTGCAATAGAAATTCTGCATTTGGCCTGAGCCTTTTAAATAGATTTCTGAAAATAGAAAAATGCTTCTTATGAAACATGAACACAAAAAAAGCAAAGAGTAAAGTTTTTGTATATTTTCTTGTAAATTAGTTGCCAATTTAAAGAAAAATAATTTCCATCGATTTCCTTGGTTTATGAACAATTATCGAGAAGAAAGTTTGCAAAAAAATTAAAACTTTTTTTAGAAATTTATATTCTATTTCCAAAAAGATAAAGGGGGTGAACCGTTTGGTGAAATCTGGGTTTCAAGGGGCTCTCCAATTAAACACTCTGCTTGGTTCTCATTGGACGTTAATTGCTTAATTGCTCAAAAATCATTCTAACATTGAGGGCTTTAAAGTAACTATAAAAACAGTCACTTCTTCTAATTTGAATAGGCCGGTTCTTAGTCTCTGTCAGTTTGATTTAATAATTATGATCTTGATTGAACCTGTGAGCGTTAGCCTGCACGCAGACTCGACTGGTTTTCCCAGAGATGAATTTAGTTGAATGGAAAATTTAGGGTTTGACTCTCAGCAGAGTCTGCGAATCAGCCACAGAAACTATGTCAGCTGACAGGGGCGGACTGGCTAATTTTTTTGGCCCGGGCAAATTTTGATCAAACCGGCCCACAATAATAGCAAATAAAAAACTCCTCGGAAAATACAAGTAAATGTTAGTCTGCAAGGAAAACAAGTTTTTAAATTCAGTAATTTTGTGCATGGTTGAATGCTTGCGTAACATAACAAGTGAATAAGCATAACAGAATATGCTTAACAGAACATGATAAATATGTCATTTGTTGACTAAACAGTAAATAAACAAAAAATTTAACTCCTTGGTTTGACTTTGTTTCTAAATATAGTAACTTATATGTTGATAATGTGATCGTTCAGGATGTCATCTAACAGGTGTTTTTCTAAGAACATTAACATGAAGGACTCCAGGTTTGGCTGCGAAAAATTACTACGTAATCTGTTCTTTATATATTTAAAGCGGAAAAGCTTCTATCACACTCCACTTGTGACAAATAATTTTCTAATCCTCCGGAAAACCACAATGATTTTCAGCAGCCCAAAAAAATCGATTTGTCAATTTCTGACCCCAAAAAATAGGCACCCCTGTTGAAATTTTATCGTGTAGCACCATACCCCTGTGGGCGGGGGTGCATTTGACTTGTGATAGTATAGGCCTAAAAATAAACTTACAAAAACTTGTATGAGTTTATTGAAAGGAGCAAGAGCAAGACCCTGCTGTTTTTAGTGACGTTTGTGGCTTTTGCCTGATAAAAAAGCTTTGTATCGTAGCTGAATCCTTTTTTAAGACTCGCAGCTTTTCCTTCACAAAATTTCTGTGCATCACCTTTGGTTGAAGTCTTCTTGCTTTCCCTCGTTATACGCAGTGGCGTACCCAGGGCCGGAGAAGGGGGGGGTCTGGGGCGCAGCCCCCAGAAATTTTTTGGACCACGCCCTTCAAACACTCGCAAATGCAGAGAAACGCCCTTTTTGCAAAATTTTCCGCCATTATTTGATTCATGTTCGCTACAGTAAATAGGAAAGTATTTTACAATTGTTATTGACACAAGCATACAGTATACTACACCCCCACCTCGATGAGTTTTACATCGTTTTAGGACAAATCTCGAGGATCACATTTTAGATCACAAGTGGGGGGTTTGGACCCCCCTATTCCCCCCCTTGGGTACACCACTGGTTCTACGTATGTCCTCTTCATTGCTTCACATCACAGAGCGAATTGCTTAGTGAACTCTAATTTTTGGACTTTTAAATTTATTACATTTAGCAATAGCTTGTGCTTAGGGAAAAACATGACCAGCCTCAAGCAAAAGCTAAATAAAAAGACATGGTTAAAATCTTATGTATCGCATTGAAACAGGGGTGTTACAGTATAATATGTTGCCAAAAAGGAAATACCGTCAAGAGAAAATATAAAAATTTTCAATAACATTTTTTCTGAAGAAGTGTGTTTGGGCTGCGGTGACAAAAAGAAACTCGCGTGTATATTTATCCTTTCCCACAAAGTCTCTGAAAAATCAAGGCAAACAGATCAACGTGTGGGTATACTTTTTGCCTCGCATTCACTTTTTAAGCTAATTTATTTTTTGCACTTTTATCAACCGGCCCTTAAACAGACCGGCCCTTCGGGCGATCGCCCGAATAGCCCGACCCGCCAGTCCGCCCCT